ATATATGACAACTGCGTCAAGAAAGGATATAAAAAAAACAAAATGACCTTAGAAGATTTCATGATTATCATGATCAGTGGCAGAACTAGAAATTTTCATAAATGAGTGGCACTGACTGCCTAAGAGGTGGCCTGCTCCAGTCATGCTTCAGTGATTCCCTATATAATCAATGCAATAAACGGTCTGTGATATTGAAAAGGCCATATCATATACACCTTATTATATACATGTACCTCATCCCTAGATATTTTTCATGAGACATGAGGTAATACATATTAGAGGTTTGACAAAGCTTTTGGAACCATGACTGATATCGATTACGTGACGTCATACAGATTAGGTTTGATCTAAATATTAATCTCTGCTGATTTTTTTTATTATATACTTAGCAGTAAATACAGATAAATTGTATGTGTAATACAATTGATGACTTCGTGCTGTCAAGTTAATAGACGTGGGATTTGTACAATTCAGAATATACCTGGTTTCTATGAAGTTAAACTTAAGGTAAAATATTTAGAAAGCTGTAAAAATTGCAAAATTTGGTTGAACAGATAGGGATATTTAATTGGTGGTCTGACACCTTTAAGTGAAATGCGGTGAAACCCCAAAATCAGAAAACGATTGATTTTTTTGTCTTAACTGATCAATTGAAATGATAGTAGCCACATTTCAATCTTTTTTGGGCAAAAAGTCAAATATTGCAAACATCTACCATTATGTTCAGATAGGCTGTTTTTAACTACAAATTGACTAAGGATTAAGAATAAAGCAAAACAAAAGATTTCTGATCAACTTTTTTGTCTCTTTAAGTGAAATGCTGTGAAACCCCAAAATCAGAAAACTATTGATATTAGATCACTGATATACATGGGACCATGAAGCTGATGTGGGATTAATATACAGTGGAACTAAACATTACAGGTTATATTAGATCACTGATATACATGGAACCAGGAAGCTGATGTGGGATTAATATACAGTGGAACTAAACATTACAGGTTATATTAGATCACTGATATACATGGGACCAGGAAGCTGATGTGGGATTAATATACAGTGGAACTAAACATTACAGGTTATATTAGATCACTGATATACATGGGACCAGGAAGCTGATGTGGGATTAATATACAGTGGAACTAACCATTACAGGTTATATTAGATCACTGATATACATGGAACCAGGAAGCTGATGTGGGATTAATATACAGTGAAACTAAACATTACAGGTTATATTAGATCACTGATATACATGGGACCAGGAAGCTGATGTGGGATTAATATACAGTGGAACTAAACATTACAGGTTATATTAGATCACTGATATACATGGGACCAGGAAGCTGATGTGGGATTAATATACAGTGGAACTAACCATTACAGGTTATATTAGATCACTGATATACATGGGACCAGGAGGCTGATGTGGGATTAATATACAGTGGAACTAACCATTACAGGTTATATATGATCACTGATATACATGGGACCAGGAAGCTGATGTGGGATTAATATACAGTGGAACTAAACATTACAGGTTATATTAGATCACTGATATACATGGGACCAGGAAGCTGATGTGGGATTAATATACAGTGGAACTAAACATTACAGGTTATATTAGATCACTGATATACATGGGACCAGGAAGCTGATGTGGGATTAATATACAGTGGAACTAAACATTACAGGTTATATTAGATCACTGATATACATGGGACCAGGAAACTGATGTGGGATTAATATACAGTGGAACTAAACATTACAGGTTATATTAGATCACTGATATACATGGGACCAGGAAGCTGATACAGTGAAACTAACCATTACAGGTTATATTAGATCACTGATATACATGGGACCAGGAAGCTGATGTGGGATTAATATACAGTGGAACTAAACATTACAGGTTATATTAGATCACTGATATACATGGGACCAGGAAGCTGATGTGGGATTAATATACAGTGGAACTAAACATTACAGGTTATATTAGATCACTGATATACATGGGACCAGGAAGCTGATGTGGGATTAATATACAGTGGAACTAACCATTACAGGTTATATTAGATCACTGATATACATGGGACCAGGAAGCTGATACAGTGGAACTAAACATTACAGGTTATATTAGATCACTGATATACATGGGACCAGGAAGCTGATGTGGGATTAATATACAATGGAACTAACCATTACAGGTTATATTAGATCACTGATATACATGGGACCAGGAAGCTGATGTGGGATTAATATACAATGGAACTAACCATTACAGGTTATATTAGATCACTGATATACATGGGACCAGGAAGCTGATGTGGGATTAATATACAGTGGAACTAACCATTACAGGTTATATTAGATCACTGATATACATGGGAACAGGAAGTTGATGTGGGATTTATATACAGTGGAACTAAACATTACAGGTTATATTAGATCACTGATATACATGGGACCAGGAAGTTGATGTGGGATTAATATACAGTGGAACTAAACATTACAGGTTATATTAGATCACTGATATACATGGGACCAGGAAGCTGATGTGGGATTAATATACAGTGGAACTAAACATTACAGGTTATATTAGATCACTGATATACATGGGACCAGGAAGCTGATATGGGTTTAATATACAGTGGAACTAAACATTACAGGTTATATTAGATCACTGATATACATGGGACCATGAAGCTGATATGGGATTAATATACAGTGGAACTAACCATTACAGGTTATATTAGATCACTGATATACATGGGACCAGGAAGCTGAAAATTGAAATCTAATTTGTTTGGAAAAAGGAAACTACCCCTGTAAGTGGGCAAAAATTGTAAGTGGTGAAAAAGATTGTTTTGACAAAAGGGGTGGCCAAAAAGACTATTGAACCAGGGGAAAAGAGTTGACCAATTGTTGTTTACTTGAGTGTGAAAAACCTTGTCAACAAGGCAAAAAAGCTATGCAATTACACTAAAAAGTAATGATCATGATTTTGATTGATTGATTGTTAGTGTTTAATGCCACTTTCAGCATTCTCAGCTATATATTAGCGGCCAATTTATATTGATGGATGAAGCAAGAGAACCATTCACCTTAAGTAGAAAAACTAGCAATCCTAGTCAATAAAGATTGGAGTCGAGTGCACCTGCCATGTGTGTGGTTTGAACTCACAACATCAAAGTGACAGGCTATAGCAAGTGATACTGCAGATGAACCACTTAGACCACTCAGCCACTGAGACCCTTATAATGATTTTGAAGGACTTGTTATTAGATACCTGCACATGAACATGCAAGATTTTGAGTTGTGAAAACAGTTTGCCAGCTCTCCATACTAAATGATTAGTGACAAATGAAGGAGTAAAACATTCAAATTCAGTACAGAAGGGAAAAAATAAGACTACAGTTATAAACTATCAGAAATAATTTTTTCATTGCTAAAAAATTAAGAGCGCACATACTGAAATGTCTTGCCTGCTTTATCGACCATGATTGATTTTATGTTGAAAGTCTTTTTTAAAAAGATAAAGATTTTACTACAAGTATCACATAAACTCAACATTATCAATGATCCATAGCAATGAGGTCAAGGTCAGATAAACCCCTGCCAGACAGACATGTACACCTTACAATCATTCCATACACCAAATATAGTTGACCTATTGTTCATAGTATCCAAGAAACAGCCCATTGTTGTGTTTTAATCCACAAGATTTAAGTTATAGATATAAGAAGATGTGGTATGAGTGCCAATGAGACAACTCTCCATCCAAGTAAAAATTTATAAAAGTAAACCATTATAGGTCACAGTACGGTCTTCAACACGGAGCCTTGGCTCACACCGAACAGTAAGCTATAAAGGGCCCCAAAAAATTACTAGTGTAAAACCAAACCAAACGGGAAAACCAAAGGTCTAATCTATATAAAAAACGAGAAACGAGAATAATGTCTATAAATATATGTTTAGAGGCATTTTCCTTGTTTTTTTCTCTATTTTGTGCATAGTTTGGACAATTTTATTCATTTCAATAAGCAAATATTAAAAATATCTAAAATGTTGCTGGTTTCATTTTCATCATACTTATGCGTTTTGTCATTCTTGCCTATCAAATTTTAACTCCATCCTTTACAAGTAACTGTGCCAATCAAAATAATTGAGCGGCATGAAAAACTGTTTATAAAATTTCCAATTTGTAAATTTGAAAACAAGTATAAAAATTGAAGTTATAGAGAACAAGTTTATTCTCATGAAATCCTTAAAAATGTCATGCAAAACATAAACCAGGAATTGTTTTCTATCATAATTCTAAATTCTAAATTTATAATACTTTAGTTATTAAAGGGTTGAATATTTTCAGCAAGGGAATGTCTTAAAGGGAGGCGGAAGATGCCAAAGGAGTATTCAAACTCATAAGTCAAAGACAAACTTACAACACAAAGCAAAAGCAAAAGAGAACGAAATAGCATACAGCAGTCTATATCATACAAAAACTAGATTGAGCAACACAAATCCCACAAAAAAACATGGAGGTGCAATTTGTATAGTTAGGTCTCTATGATACTGTAAGACAGCCTGACCTAACAACATCAATATACTATAATTTTATAAATTATTGTGTGCATTTATTATTGCCATTTTTGAAGAACGGAAAACAAAGCGAGATTAATTATTGCAATTTCAAGAAAATCTGCATACAAATATACGTAACAGATATCAGAATGCAAGTTCTTATTATTGGGATTCCCACCCAGTCGCATTATTTGCATGATAGTACCTCGCAATAATTGATGAATTTACAGTAATATTAATTATCACTATTTTACATATTTTTCCTTTGATCTTGCTGACTGATAATTTCCTTTCTCAGCGGAGTCGAGTGATATGAAAACTGAGTCGAGTGATATGAAAACTGAGTCGAGTGATATGAAAACTGAGTCGAGTGATATGAAAATTATCGCTAGAAATAGTAAGAAATGTTTATTGTTTACCTTTGAGGATATGATGGTTCATTTGTGTTCCATACACATATCATTCCCTTTCCATCTGTTGGATTCAATGGATTACTCTGAAAGATTTAAAACATTTAGGATTACTCTGAAGGATTTAAAACATTTAGGATTACTCTGAAAGATTTAAAACATTTAGGATTACTCTGAAGGATTTAAAACATTTAGGATACCTCTGAAAGATTTAAAACATTTAGGATGACTCTGAAGGATTTAAAACATTTAGGATGACTCTGAAGGATTTAAAACATTTAGGATGACTCTGAAAGATTTAAAACATTTAGGATGACTCTGAAAGATTTAAAACATTTAGGATGACTCTGAAGGATTTAAAACATTTAGGATGACTCTGAAAGATTTAAAACATTTAGGATGACTCTGAAGGATTTAAAACATTGAGGATGACTCTGAAAGATTTAAAACATTGAGGATGACTCTGAAGGATTTAAAACATTTAGGATGACTCTGAAAGATTTAAAACATTTAGGATTACTCTGAAGGATTTAAAACATTTAGGATGACTCTGAAAGATTTAAAACATTTAGGATTTCTCTGAAGGATTTAAAACATTTAGGATACCTCTGAAAGATTTAAAACATTTAGGATTACTCTGAAGGATTTAAAACATTTTTAACTTGTGAATGTATTTAAAAAACATGCATACAAGTGTCACTTCAGGTCATAAGGATTGGGAAAAAAATCATTATCTTATAGGTTCTTCGAGAAATGAAAATGATGGTTGCTGTCTGCCCTCATTGATTTTCATTCATTATTGTAGTATAATTCATTTGTCCTTTAGTCTATTATGGATAGTTGTCTATTGGAAATCATACAACATGTCCTTTAGTCTATGACGGATAGTTGACTATTGGAAAACATCCAACATGTTGTTATGTCTATAATGGATAGTTTTCTATTGGAAATCATACAATATGTCCTTTGTCTATAATGGATAGTTGTCTACGAGAAATCATACAACATGTGGTTTGGTGTTTATGGATAGTTGTCTATTGGAAATCATATAACATGTCCTTTTGTCTATAATGGATAGCTGTCTCATTGGAAATCACACAACATGTCCTTTTGACTATAATGGATAGTTGTCTATTGGAAATAACACATGTTGTTTGGTCTATAATGGAAAGTTGTCTATTGGAAATCATACAACATGTCCTTTTGTCTATAATGGATAGTTGTCTATTGGAAATCATACAACATGTCCTTTGTCTATAATGGATAGTTGTCTACGAGAAATCATACAACATGTGGTTTGGTGTTTATGGATAGTTGTCTATTGGAAATCATATAACATGTCCTTTTGTCTATAATGGATAGCTGTCTCATTGGAAATCACACAACATGTCCTTTTGTCTATAATGGATAGTTGTCTATTGGAAATAACACATGTTGTTTGGTCTATAATGGAAAGTTGTCTATTGGAAATCATACAACATGTCCTTTTGTCTATAATGGATAGTTGTCTATTGGAAATCATACAACATTTCGTCTAGTCAATAATGGATAGTTGTCTATTGGAAATCATACAACATGTCGTCTAGTCTATAATGGATAGTTGTCTATTGGAAAAATCATACAACATGTCGTCTAGTCTATAATGGATAGTTGTCTATTGGAAATCATACAACATGTCGTTTTGTCTATAATGGATAGTTGTCTATTGGAAATCATACAACATGTCCTTTGGTCTATAATGGATAGTTGTCTATTGGAAATCATACAACATGTCGTTTTGTCTATAATGGATAGTTGTCTATTGGAAATCATACAACATGTCCTTTGGTCTATAATGGATAGTTGTCTATTGGAAATCATACAACATGTCATTTGGTCTTTATGGAAAGTTGTCTATTGGAAATCATACAACATGTCCTTTGGTCTATAATGGATAGTTGTCTATTGGAAATCATACAACATATCCTTTGGTCTATAATGGATAGTTGTCTATTGGAAATCATACAACATGTCATTTGGTCTTTATGGAAAGTTGTCTATTGGAAATCATACAACATGTCCTTTGGTCTATAATGGATAGTTGTCTATTGGAAATCATACAACAACTCCTTTTGTCTATAATGGATAGTTGTCTATTGGAAATCATACAACACGTCCTTATAAACATCAAATTTAATCAAATTGGAGAAACAGTGTGTTATTCTCTCCACTGACAGATGTATCTGAGGAATAAACTTAAGAAGTACACTATTCAAACAATTACAAAGGCCATAACTATTCAACTGTTAATGTTAATTTCATCAAAACAAAACTCCTCAGTACTTTTATGCATTGTGACATTTTGTAAAATCTAACAAAAAAAATATTAGGAAATAACATTCATGGTACCAATTTTACTGCACCAGATGCAAATTTTGATAAATTGTAATTGAAACTAAATATTTAAAAGAAGGACAAAAAATTGAAAACAAGAAGTTTTTATCAATCCTATGATAAATTATATTTGAATCTGATTTAAATCAGATCTTGCATTTTGCTCTGTTAGATCTCATAAACAAATTCAAAATTTTGACTATTAAAATAAAAACAGCATGTGCCTTGGTCCAGAATATTTGATACTCTGAACCATTTGGGAGGGATATAAGTACATAATAAACATAGTACCTGATCAGGCTGACTGTAGACAGTCAATACCATATTAGGTTGTGTTGGTGCAAAGTAAGCAAACTCTACATGACGACCTGAGAAAATAATAATATCAATTATGTATATGAAGAAAGTTATAATCAGTCTTATCTCTGGTAAACAAATACAATGAAACAGGAAAAAATTATCTCATCATTGGTAAACAAATACAATGAAACAGGAAAAAAATAGAGCATAAGGTATTGCTTTGGGTTGCTACATAAGTTAGTTCCTAATTTTTCAAGAATCAAGTTGTTTATCGGGAATAAAAAATCTAGAGAAAATAAGTCATTATAAAAATGTAGCTTTTTATCATAGTGGTGTGTCTGTAAGATGATTATGAGATCTGTGATTTTATCAGAGGGGATAACTTTTGTCCAAATATGGTCATCTCAAGGGAGATAATTAAACTTGATTTTATTGCAAATTAACCAAATTTGATAATATTTTGTAAAGTAAACAAAACAAGAATTAAGGAAAAAGATTAATGTAAGTTAACAAATTGTTTCCAGATCCTATTTATTATTCAATTGTATTACTATGTTCATGCTAATTTGTGTAAATCATTAAACTTGAAAATATAAAATATGTAAAATTTTAAAACCCATCATTCTGGAAAAAAAATCTGGTGACCTTTTGTTTCCAAATTTTTTATTGGTGTCTTTCAAAAATTGACTAAAAGGTAATAATGTATTATCTTACTGTCTATCCAACTTAAGTGAATCAAATATACAAAATCAATTGTGAAATATGAAAAAAAACCGTGACACATAAGTTGTGAGAATTGAACACCCAATCCTAAACAAAAACTGCTAAAGCCAATAGGTAAGCCATGGTGACTATAATATTGCCGAATTTATTTTCTATAATTAAAAAAACATTTTTTATATGTGTTCCAATATCTAGGGTTCTCTATTACTACTGATGATTAGTCATAAGTATGGGTAGATCGATTAATTGTAGCAATTACATACCTTGTAGTATGCCCAATTTAGACAGTTCTGTGTAACCTTCACTCATACTAATACTTGATTTATTTGCACTTAATTCTGTTGTTTCCTGCGATCGCTCTTCGTCTAGTAATATAGAAACTACCTGCAATTAAAGATACAAAAAAATATTAAATTAGAGAAGCCAATTGATTGTGGCTGACAAAGCCAATATAAGACTACAAAAACTGTGGACAGAGCTCACAAAATCAACCCCCACTCCCCAATTTGTGAATATATGTTAAAAACCATGTTTTGCTGCTTAAAAGTGCCAAATCATGAATTGAATGACATGGTTGGTATGGTCTGATAAACCCTCTAAATGATGGATTAAATGACATGGTTGGTATGGTCGGATAAACCTCCAAATCTTGGATTGAATGACATGGTTGGTATGGTCTGATAAATGGTAAAAAATCTTGTTATCCTTTTTATGTATTATTCCCTAATTTACCCATGAAATGATCAAAACTTTACAGCTATGTTTTATATATATAGAGGTACAGCTATATATCCACTCAATCACAAAAATAAGAAATATTTTACCTGTCCGGCCTGTTGTATGAACTTAGAAAGACGACCTATTTTACCTGTCCGGCCTGTTGTATGAACTTAGAAAGACGACCTATTTTACCTGTCCGGCCTGTTGTATGAACTTAGAAAGACGACCTATTTTACCTGTTCGGCCTGTTGTATGAACTTAGAAAGACGACCTATTTTACCTGTCTGGCCTGTTGTATGAACTTAGAAAGACGACCTATTTTACCTGTCCAGCCTGTTGTATGAACTTAGAAAGACGACATATTTTACCTGTCCAGCCTGTTGTATGTCCAGCCTGTTGTATGAACTTAGAAAGACGACCTATTTTACCTGTCCGGCCTGTTGTATGAACTTAGAAAGACGACCTATTTTACCTGTCCTGCCTGTTGTATGAACTTAGAAAGACGACCTATTTTACCTGTCCGGCATGTTGTATGAACTTAGAAAGACGACCTATTTTACCTGTTCGGCCTGTTGTATGAACTTAGAAAGACGACCTATTTTACCTGTCCGGCCTGTTGTATGAACTTAGAAAGACGACCTATTTTACCTGTTCGGCCTGTTGTATGAACTTAGAAAGACGACCTATTTTACCTGTCCGGCCTGTTGTATGAACTTAGAAAGACGACCTATTTTACCTGTCCAGCCTGTTGTATGAACTTAGAAAGACGACCTATTTTACCTGTCCGGCCTGTTGTATGAACTTAGAAAGACGACCTATTTTACCTGTCCAGCCTGTTGTATGAACTTAGAAAGACGACCTATTTTACCTGTCCGGCCTGTTGTATGAACTTAGAAAGACGACCTATTTTACCTGTCCAGCCTGTTGTATGAACTTAGAAAGACGACCTATTTTACCTGTCCGGCCTGTTGTATGAACTTAGAAAGACGACCTATTTTACCTGTCCAGCCTGTTGTATGAACTTAGAAAGACGACCTATTTTACCTGTCCGGCCTGTTGTATGAACTTAGAAAGACGACCTATTTTACCTGTCCAGCCTGTTGTATGAACTTAGAAAGACGACCTATTTTACCTGTCCGGCCTGTTGTATGAACTTAGAAAGACGACCTATTTTACCTGTCCGGCCTGTTGTATGAACTTAGACAGACGACCTATTTTACCTGTCCGGCCTGTTGTATGAACTTAGAAAGACGACCTAAGTCTTGTTGTTTATTCTGTTGTGACTGTTCTTCATCTTCAAAATCTTTTTCACCGTCACCTCCTATAAAATATTTCATCATAATTTACTAAAATACCAATAAAATGTAATGAACATTAAACTTAAAATTTATTTTAAAAATTCATTCATTTTTTGTTTCTATTCTATTTGATGTTTTGTCAGATGATGACTTTTGATTTGATGTTTTGTCAGATGATGACTTTTGATTTGATGTTTTGTCAGATGATGACTTTTGATTACAGTGGATTCGTTTATTTTCTGGATTTTTGTTGGTATCAATTTTCATTGTTGGAGAAAAAACTGTATTTAACTTGATATTTTTGGTTTACCTTGACAACTTTGTACAGCACTAATAATCATGAAACCATAGTACTTCTGTATAAAATCTACAGCTTACTTAAACAGACACAGCTTTGTGGGAGGGGGAGGGGGGATAGAAGTCAATAGGGATGGCGTACATGCTAAAACATTCCAAAAATATATGGAAAATAACCATGTGTCAATGATAAGGTGCTTTTATTTTGAAAGATCTGAAAGTTCTTCAACAATGAGCTTAATAACATGTGTGTTCTCAACCAGTTTGTTAGTCAATACATGTTTGTGTATGTGTTCTCAACCAGTTTGTTAGTCAATACATGTTTGTGTATGTGTCCTCAACCAGTTTGTTAGTCAATACATGTGTGTGTATGTGTTCTCAACCAGTTTGTTAGTCAATACATGTGTGTGTATGTGTCCTCAACCAGTTTGTTAGTCAATACATGTTTGTGTATGTGTCCTCAACCAGTTTGTTAGTCAATACATGTTTGTGTATGTGTCCTCAACCAGTTTGTTAGTCAATACATGTGTGTGTATGTGTTCTCAACCAGTTTGTTAGTCAATACATGTGTGTGTATGTGTTCTCAACCAGTTTGTTAGTCAATACATGTGTGTGTATGTGTTCTCAACCAGTTTGTTAGTCAATACATGTGTGTGTATGTGTTCTCAACCAGTTTGTTAGTCAATACATGTGTGTGTATGTGTCCTCAACCAGTTTGTTAGTCAATACATGTGTGTGTATGTGTTCTCAACCAGTTTGTAAGTCAATTCATGTTTGTGTATGTGTTCTCAACCAGTTTGTAAGTCAATACATGTTTGTGTATGTGTTCTCAACCAGTTTGTTAGTCAATACATGTTTGTATGTGTTCTCAACCAGTTTGTAAGTCAATTCATGTTTGTGTATGTGTTCTCAACCAGTTTGTAAGTCAATACATGTTTGTGTATGTGTTCTCAACCAGTTTGTTAGTCAATACATGTTTGTGTATGTGTCCTCAACCAGTTTGTTAGTCAATACATGTGTGTGTATGTGTTCTCAACCAGTTTGTTAGTCAATACATGTGTGTGTATGTGTTCTAAACCAGTTTGTTAGTCAATACATGTGTGTGTATGTGTTCTCAACCAGTTTGTTAGTCAATACATGTGTGTGTATGTGTCCTCAACCAGTTTGTTCATCAATACATGTTTGTGTATGTGTTCTCAACCAGTTTGTAAGTCAATACATGTTTGTGTATGTGTTCTCAACCAGTTTGTTCATCAATACATGTTTGTGTATGTGTCCTCAACCAGTTTGTTAGTCAATACATGTTTGTGTATGTGTTCTCAACCAGTTTGTAAGTCAATACATGTTTGTGTATGTGTTCTCAACCAGTTTGTCAGCTAGTCAATTCTTGTTTGTGGTTATCTGTTCTCGCAGTTTAATATGTATCGTGAAAATTAGTACTACATACACTGTTTACTCTAAGCATAATATTTTTTTTTTCTATTTACATTAGTCACATTAGACAATAGTCCAACTTACTGCCAGATCCAGCAAAGTCTTCAGGTGGATGTTGTGTCCACTTGTTTCTCATATCAATCTCTTCTGTTTGTATATCACGGTCTATAGCATCATCATTGGTCTGTACGTAGGCCTACAATCATGTTACAATAAACATTATATTTACAGCTAACATCATACATGGGTTAACCAATTTCCTGTCACATGATCATTTCTATTTTACTTTTATCAAGAGTGTATGTGTTAGCAAATGTCATATTTTTATATTTATATTGAACTTGTGCAGACGGAATACAGGAAAATTCATTCTGTTTCAACACAGTGTATGTGTTAGCAAATGTCATATTTCTAAAGTAAACTTGTGTAGATGGAATACATGAAAAGTTTTTCTGTTTCAACACAGAATATTGATTTCAATACTAAAAGAATATTTAAAAAGCTTTAGATATATTTAGATATAGTTCAAGACTTAAACTGAGAAGTGGAAAAATATCAGCTAACACATTTATAGTTTCAGGTATATATGCAAATTTTCTATAATGGAAAAGTGGGATAAGGAGTATCTTATGTGATAATGCTCAAAATAACAACAAACATATAAAATTTGAAGTCCTGATCTACCAAAAGTTGTTTTTGACTTAAATGAAATGGAATTTACAACGATCAAAGTAAAAAACATATTATACTAATAGTTCCATTTTCTCAAAATAAATTTGATCTGATATGATGTTTAACTGAATTCAAAATTTAAATGATCATCACTGGACTAAAATTACAAAAAAGTGATAAATATTATACCTAGTTTGGGAATTATCTATATGCTTATGTTGAATATTGATTTCTATAATATTTACACCTATTGTAGATAATTCCACAGATGTAACACTTAGGTCAAAGGTAAAAACGTACCTGTCGTGTGTCAGATCTGCCATAACTTCTAATATACAACTCATATTCTTTGACTGGAGGCAAATCCATAATATCAAAAGTTACTGTGTCTAATTCTATCATTTCTAACAGGTCTCGAGCTCGTTTGGATGTCTTTCCATAGGTTTTCTGAGTCATGACCTGTCTCTTTGCTGATAAGAAGTTGATAGCACTACTTTTTGGACGCACCCTCGAGACAGGTTCATCTGGACTGCTGTCCCTATATCCTCTACCTCTATCATCAGGCTACAAAATAATATTCATTAATAAGGCAAAGCAATAACCTAATGTTCTCCTGAGGATGTCTGAGCATTTTAGTATTACAGTATTGTAACAGTTTAACCTCAGGGAATTATCTACCACAGTTCTATTTTTTTCACCATTTTTCAATAAATGCTGACTCTTGCTTTCAGTAACTGTGAGCTTTACAAAATCTCTAGTTATGTTGGTGCCTAATTTATTGTACTGTATACAAACTAATTTTTACGAGATTTATTTGGCGATATTGAAAAATAATGAGAATATAAATAGTATTCGATAGTGTCACACTTAGATCTTTTCTTATACGAATGCACCAAAAAGTTTTTTAAAAAATGTGAAAAAGAATAGTTGTGAAATCTAGTAGAAAGGACTATACATGAAAAAAGTATCTGAGAAAATAAGACATATCTATATAGCAATCAAAAATAAAATATTCCTAATATAATTTTTTCAGTATGTTTTTCACATTATTACTGATAACATAATCACCGAGTCAGATCTGTCATATTTGTCCTGTTTTGCGGAATCTTTATATAATCTATCATTTTCTTCATCTAAAGCTCTTAAAACGTCGTTCATCTCGTCATCCTGAAAAAAATTATATAAAAAATGTAAAAGCAGCTTTTAATGCTATTTGTTTAATTTAGTAAATGTCAATATCCTCCCTGGATTACATCATTGTCCTGAGGTCTTTTAGATAGTATTCATCATTGGCAATCTTACCACATCTCCATATTTATGAAGCAAAATACAATGAATCAATAACAAAAATTGTTGCTTAATGGTTAGTTATGAGGGCATTCTGTCTGGTCTAGCTATCATTTATCAGGAGACCGAGATTGCACATTCTAATGCAACATAGTTTGAAACGTTCATTTTGATTGGATAATGTCACCAATTTTCATGGCATCAATTCACCAATTCACAATTGATACTATGAAAACGTACACGCAAGCGCAGACTACGTATGACAGATTTTTAATGAAAGATTTGATGTTGTTTTCTGTCAGTTTCATTAGAATGGAGATAACAATATTGTATTTTAAGCTCCGACGGCATCAATTGGTGATTTGATGGTCGCAAATACTCGTTTACTGGCTCCGCTAACGCGTCACCAGTAAACTCAAATCACCAATTGATGCCGTCAGAGCTTAAAATACAATACAGTTATCTACTAAATGTAATTCACAAGGATAGATGTTCATTTTTATAACTGTTCATTCAGTTGTTACAAAAGGCTTCTTATTTCTGTCTAATATATAGAACACTTCTCCGATCATTATTCATTCTTGTAATATACTTGCAATATTTTCTCCTAGAGTCTTTGGTTTTATAAATAATAGCTAATTGGAAACATTTAATTATATAAAAATAAGGAAATGAGGTATGATTTCCAATGAGACAAATATCCACCAAAGTTCAAATAAAGTGGATGTAAGCAATTATAGTCAACCGTACGACCTTCAATAATGAGAAAAACCCATACCGTATAGTCAACTATAAAAGGCCCCGACATGAAAAATATATAGTTTGCTATTATTCAAAAACTTTATAAAATACATAGGCAAGAATACAATTCATTTTTGTTTGTATCTGGAAAATCATCATTAATGCTACATTGCATGTTTTCTATTATTCATGCCCAGTTTAACCTAGTATTCATTTTAAAGTGAAAACGGCAAAATTGAAGTCCACCAATAAGTGTTTTATATGTATGCAAACAAAAATGTAGTGTTGTTGCCATGAAAATCATTGAAGCTTGTAATTTGTTGAAATAACATTTAACCATATGAGTCTGCAAGGTCAAAGGCAAACTGTTCAAGCTACCAAAACATAATGCTTATAACTATAAGAATTAACACTGATGATAGTGCAAGAAAAGACAAGCAGATCACTACATTGTAGTCCCCCCTGAATTTTGAATTAAACTTAGATATCAATTAAAATAGAATAGAGTTGACCATTTGCAAGAAAAATTAATAGTAATACCAAAATGAACTTGGTTGCTCATAAAAAGCTTTTGTCCAAGTATTGAAAAATTCCATGAAGGTTTGACAAAGTTATGATGCCTGAAAAACTTCAACCTTAGACTGTATCTTACGCAAGAGTGCACACACTGAAATGTCTTGCCAGCTTTACTGACCTTTGATTTAATGTTGAAAGTTTTAAAGATGAAGGTTTTACTTCAAGTATCACATAAACTTAACAATTTTAAAATTCCATGACAATGAGGTCAAGGTCAGATAAATCCTGTCAACAGACATGTACACCTTACAATTATACCATATACCAAATATAGTTGACATATTGCTTATGGTAATTGAAATACAGAACAAAACAAATAAAATGCTCCGCTGGGGAGCAGCTTGATACGACCGCAGAGGTCCAACCCTGAACAGTTGGGGCAAGTATGGACACAACATTCAAGCTTGATACAGCACTGAATTTGGATTGTAGTTAAATATTTGACACAGCATAGGTTTCTCACACAGAATGAAAGTGGTCTAAGAACTTAAAAATTTTTAATTTACCTATTCAAACCATATCATTATTATTTGCTTTTATATATAAATCAGAAATAACCAATTTAAAATGGAAAATTTTAAAGAAAAAAAAGGAAAAATAAATCCCCCCCAAATTTTTTGAACCCCCTTATGATTCATCACCCCCAAACTCAATCCCAGCTTTCCCTTTGTGGTATGGTACCTTGCAGTACAATTTCAGAGAGATCCATACGCTTGAACACAAGTTATTGTTTGGAAACTAGAAAAATGCTCGTTTTTTGGCCCCTTTTTGGCCCCAAATTCCTAAACCTTTTGGGCAATTACCCCTAAACTCAAACCCAGCTTTCCCTTTGTGATATGGAACCTTGCAGTACAATTTCATAAAGATCCATACACTTACACACAAGTTATTGTCCTGAAACTAGAAAAATGCTTGTTTTTTTGCCCTTTTATGGCCCTTAATTACTAAAATTTTGAGGGAATTACCCCCAAAATCAATCCCAGCCTTCCCTTTGTGAAATGGAACCTTGCAGTACAATTTCAGAGAGATCCATACACTTGAACACAAGTTATTGTCTGGAAACTAGAAAAATGCTTATTTTTGGTCCCTTTTTTGCCCCTTATTCCTAAACGTTTTGGGCAATTACCCCCAAACTCAATTTCAGCTTTCCCTTTGTGATATGGAACCTTGCAGTACAATTTCATAAAGATCCATACACTTACACACAAGTTATTGTCATGAAACTAGAAAAATGCTTGTTTTTTGCCCCTTTTTGGCCCTAATTCCTAAAATTTGGAGGCAATTACCCCCAAAATCAATCCCAGCATTCCCTTTGTGATATAAAACCTTGTGATACAATGTCAGAGAGATCCATACACTTACACACAAGTTATTGTCATGAAACTAGAAAAATGCTTGTTTTTTGCCCCGTTTTGGCCCCTAATTCCTAAAATTTGGAGGCAATTACCCCCAAAATCAATCCCAGCATTCCCTTTGTGATATGGAACCTTGTGGTACAATGTCAGAGAGATCCATACACTTACACACAAGTTATGTCTGGAAGTTACAAAAATGCTTATTTCTGGCCCCTTTTTGGCCCCTAATTCCTTAACTGTTGGTACCATAACCCCCAAAATCAATCCCCACCTTCCTTTTGTGGTATTGAACCTTATGGTAAAATTTCAAAGAGATCCATTCACTTAAACTAAAGTTAGAGTGCGAAAACTAATATGTCTTCGGACGACGACGACGCCAACGTCATACCAATATACGACCACAAAAATTTTTTTGCGGTCGTATAAAAAACTTAACATTGACCAATCAGGGGTTCAAATTTGCGGTGGTCCGAGGTCTGCGACCTTCCATTTTTGCAGTCGGACTCTCGTTTTTGTTACAAGCTACGCCCGACGGACCTTCGGTTTGAAAGAAAATAAAAATAAACTTTGCCGACCTTTTTAAACAAAAAATTCCAAACAATCTCAAAATTTATTTTCATCATTATTATTCATGACAGCGATGTTCATTTTGTTCAACCGCTAGCTTTATACCGAAAATTGCCAACTAGTAATGTGTAAATCCGAGTAAAATCGTATCTGACTGACAAAACTACATTGAAAAACATTGGATGCCATAAACCGGAAATGAAGAAAATAACAAAAAACGGATCCGATTCCGGAGCGGATAAGGGTAATTCCGATCAAATACAATGAAAAAATAATAATTCCAGGCAGTTGACAAAATACATCTATGATGATAAAATATAAACCCTAGAATTGAAAACCAAAAGATATATTGAAAAGAAAGAAAAAGTAGGAAATATTTTTTTACAGAAACTCAAAATTACTTTTAGTTCATAAATTTTCATCTCAAAATCCAAAAAAAATGTGACAGTAATTTTCTTTATCATTAATAAATATTGATATTACATAGATTTTTGTATAGTGTAAACGTATTACTACAATTCCAAGAGGTAATGTCTTCTCAATTTTAAAGGACCAGTACAAATCTGGAAGTTTCTTATCTTATTTTCACAGAGGAACTAATGCATTATAATAGTGCAACTAGATATGATACACTTAAACCAGAGACATATATACACAAGTATATATACGTCTCTGCTTAAACAGCTTTGAATTTGAACTGTTTTATAAAATGGTATAAGTAGTAATAAATTACCAATAGTTGAGACAACACACCCACCCATGGTGACACCCTCCTCAATAACAAAAAAAAAAGATTATCTGAATTTATAATATACAAGACAATTACAATTGTTATTAAATATTTTATACAACAGTGACTTTGACAATGAAACAAGTTGACCTAACACCAACAGCACATTAATTTTGTTACTTGTATCTTACTATGTTAGGAAATATTTCAAGTAAAAGTAGGACCTGGAATTTAGGTTGTGGACCTTTCAGTTTGGAGTGTCAAAGGTCCTGGACCTTCCAGTACCAAATGTTAATTTGAACCCCTGCCAATGAACCACAAATATTTTTTTTCAAGCAGTCGCTGAACCACGAAAATGAGGTCAAGGCCATTAAACATATGATAGACAGAAACTTTGTAACATAAGGTATCTGCATACAAGGTATAAAGCATCCAGGTCTTCTACCTTCTGAAATATGTAGCTTTATATAAATAGTTTACATCGCCTCCGCTGGACAGTAATCCCTATGTCTCACATACTGCGACTTTCGTCCCAGGCAAGACAAAAACTAAGTCCCAATATCAGTAATTTACGGAAAGACAAATGAATTAAAAAATATTTGCAAAATATTGATCTGGAAAATGTCTTTTGATCATAAAAATATCTTCTTCAAATTCCATGAAGGTTTGACAAAGTTATTGCTCTCTAAAATTCTTTAACCACAGACTGAACCTATAGCTGTAGACACTGTCGACACTGATATGTAGAATCGCTATGTCTTGCTTCCACGACAAATGTTGCATGCTCGACAATAAAAATACTAGCTGATACTAAGATGAATACATGTGCCATTACATATAAACCACTACATCTTTATTTTTTCTTAAAATGCAATATCATTTTGAATCATATTTTTAATATAAATTAAGCAAATATAAAAGAATTTGAGGAATAGATTTTGTGAACTAATCTAAAGTACCATGCAGGATACACAAGTGCAATTAGAAATTATATGTTGCAATTTATTTCACTTTGTGTAATAAAAACAATTTATTTTATTTTCAGAACAGAATTTAATTGGATATTTTTAATACACATAAAAACATAAACTGGTGCAACAATGGGATGATTCATTGCATATTATTGCACACACAAAGATAATTACAGAATATTGCAGTCCATGTCTAGGTTGTCTAGGTGTTATAGATGACAAGTTTGTCTACAAAAAAATGTCAAGCTTTAATCAAAAGCATACATAATTTTCCTACTTTGTTGAGTTTCATGTAGTATTCTTGAAAAAAAATCCTGCTTATATAAAGGACTTATCCGGTATGGTAGATGTCGGTAATTAAGATGGCAATTTTTCTCACATCTGGATTATCAATTGCAAAAAAACTGATTATTAGCTTTAGAAAAATCATTCAAACTGACAACTACCAGATACTGTTACTGTTATTAAAATTCAGAAATTATTGTGTGCATTTATTATTGCCATTGTTAAAAAATGGACATAAATGCGAGATTAGGGCTATTCCATTAAAATTTATGTGGGAGGGTAGGAAGGGAAGTTTAATTATTGACTGTGGGTCATGGGTCTTTTTTTCAGTATGTGTCTATTACCATTATGCAAAATTATCTAAAAAATGGTTCTTGGTTGTAGGGATATTTTGAAAGTCCCTTCCTACCCTCCCACATACATTTTAATGGAATAGCCCTTACTTATTGCGATTTCAGGAATGCTCCATACAAATAATGCTGTAGAAATTGAAAATGCATATTTATTTTTGCAAAACATATCCTGTCCCAATTTTTGCAATAATCAAAACATTGCAGTCATTTCTGAATTAACAGTATTTTGATCTTGAATGCTTAAAACACTCTAACTCCTGTTTTTTGAAAAAGCCAAAACAGTAATTGTATTTCTGCTGAAGCAAACTCTTTAAATTCTACTCTAAAGAAGCAAAACAGAAATACACAATAAAAGAAAAAGCTGAATCAAAAATTCAATATAGATTTGTGTAGCAACTTACACTATGGTCATATTCTGGTCTCTAATATAAAATAATAAAAATTGATAAACTCTGGATATTTTTACTGTCTAGTTTCTTTGGAAAATGATACCAAAATATAATATTAAAAAAAAATCTTGATAAGAAATTAGATATTTATACAAAAAAACCTAATTCTGTCAGATACAAAATTCATTTAAATTTTTTCTAGCTTGAAGAGGAAAACTTAGAATATGGTTGACTGAAACAGTGTTTATATCTTTTCACCTTTTTTCATTGAATAATATTTATTGTTTCTCAAATTGTAACTAACAAGATAAACAAAAAATATCATAAATGGTTCCATTAATAAAAACAAAAATCTCCTTGGGAAAATTTTTGTTTATTTATATTAAAGGGTGTTAATAAACATGTTTCAAATAATGACATCTTGCTCCATAGTATTATTGGCATAGAAACAATGATTAAACAGAACAGTTTTAGTAGGCCCTTTCTGGTCTAATATTTTTTCCTTACTAAACTTTTGGTTTCAAGCTTACCTGATGAATAGTTTTACAGAAACATGTGTCAAGCAATCTGCAAACAGGTTTATTTGCCTGATTTTTATTTTCAGACTCAAAACATAACTTTGAATAAACATTTTCAAATGGTAAAACAAAGATTAAATGCAAAAAAAAAAAAAAATTACTTCACCTCTAAAACTTCAAATACATCTGAAAATCTAGTCCACCCCTTTTTTGCTATTTTTATTTCACTGAAAGACAGAACTCAAATCAACAATCTAAAATAGACTTAAATTTGGAACAAATTTTAACCTGATGAAAATTTTAGGAGTGTAGTGTAAGGAATTGTAGTTAAAATTCATAACATAAAACAAGGTTAAATTTTACAACACCTACTGACAGATACAAAGTCTTTATAGAATAATATACAAACCTTCTTTGGTGGCTCCTCATCCTCCTCTTCTTCAAAGTCTTCCTCATAATCCTGCAATAAATCAACTTCCTTATTTTGTTTTATAAATAATCACATTTAAGAGGAAAATTTCTTAAAAATTAATATGTTAACAGTTCTCTTTCCTACAATTCCAGAATAAACTTTCTGGTGGAGAGTTGACTCATTGGCCACATCTTATTTTTTTATTGACCATATCTAAAATTCTATGAAGGTTTGACAAAGTATTGGATTTATAAATAAAGAGCTGCGCCATGAGAGCATGATATGCCTGTTACTTTTTCAACAAATAAAGTTCCATTACTCCTTAATGTCATATCAGAAATTTATAAAAAAAACCTAAAGAGAGCTTATTTCAATAGATATAAACCTGTCACCAAAGTTTCAAGAAAACTGCTCAAAGAATTTTGAGTTATTGTCCGAAAACTAGAAAATCCCCCTTTTTTATGAATAAAATCCCAAAACTCAGAAATGTAAAATCTAAAATTTATATAAATCGAAAGGGAGCTTATGTCAATAGATATAAACAATTCACCAAAGTTTCATGAAAATTTGTTAGAGCGTTTTTGAGTTATTGTCCGACATGTTGATGACGGACAGACGGACATTGGTATACCATAATAAGGTCCCGTAAACAGGCGTATAAAAACCGTTAATCTCAGACTGTATCTTAAAGTCATATGAAACTTTAAATTAAAAAAAAAAGTTGTACATGTTTTTTTATACTTGAATGGCTAAGTTTTACTATAAAACATGTGTACATGGATTTTACAAAAAAATGTTTTATCTGATCAAAATCTTTAGAAATGCACTGATATTGCCTTCCCGTAATCTAATTCACCAATAGCTTTTCGATATTCAGTGACTTTAACCACAAGACCTCTTGTTAGTACCTAGGCAAATGCACAGCGCAAGTGAGGGGGAAAAACCATTATGAAAGAAAAGGTAAACACATGTTGAAGTTAGATAATGTTAATTAATTCTGGAAGAAAAATTTCAATACACTAAATAATTTAACAACTGTCATGAAAACGTTTAATTAACAAAAAGAATCAAATGGAAAATATAAAAAGATGTCTCTATTACATGACTATCATTACACTTATTTTTCACATGCTCCACGATTCTGTGTTGATTGTTTATTGAGGTCATGTTTGGTAATCATGGGCAATTAAACTCAAAAGTTAATTAGCAGGGAAAGTTATCACTGAATGAAATATTTTTGTCGATTGTATATTATGGATTAGTAACAAATGTAAAAAAATGTGCATAGAGGACTTAGTTTAGTATATATACATGCATTGGTTCAATTATTTCCTTAAATCCCTGAATGTTACCTACCGAATTAGACTTATCACTGGGTTTGTACTTACATGAGCAACATGACAGGGGCCACATGTGGAGCAGGATCTGCTTACCCTTCCAAGGACCTGAGATCACCCAGCGTTTTTGAAGGGATTCATGATGCTCAGTCTTTAGTTTTCTATATTGTGTTTTGTGAACTGTTGTTTGTCTGTTGATCTTTTTCTTTTTTAGCCATGTTTTGTCAGTTTATTTTCAACTTACGAATTTGAATCTCCCTTTGGTATCTTTCGCCTCTCTTTAAGATAATAAATTCAAGAAACTCTTATGACTTTAAGGTTAACTGCAAAAACACTTTAATAGTCCTTTTATCAGTAAAATATAGAAAAGCCAAAAAAATATTTTTGAAATTTTTCTATGGATACTGTCTTCTAATCTTTTAATAGCTTCTGTGCAAGTTTTGTAGAATTTCATTATGGTTTGACAAAGTCATTGATGTCTAATAAAAAAAATGAACCACACAAGGGTCCGGAAACGGTCATATTTGCCAGTCATGTCCTAAGATGAAACTATTTGTCCTAAACGAGTAATTGGGATTTAGGACAGATTTTATTTTTTTACAGAAGTAATTTCGGTCATTTCATTGACTCAATGTTTGAAATCGGATTTCTTAATCGCCATCTTGCACTTGTGATCACTTGTTTTTGTTTATAATCCCTTTCCTGTAATAAAACTGCCACTACAGTAGTTTGATAATCCTGAGGGCCCACCTAATATCTATATCAATGCCTCCGGGAAACATTGGCTAATGATCGCTAATCACTTTTTACCTGTGGTTTTAATTCACACCTGACAGTGATCACAAGCTCAGAATAATATCTTTAATTTAAAACATTAAAGTTCCTTGACAAGTGTATTCATTATTTATTTACTTTTCATCAAAGACAGTCATCAATTCTGATTTAAAAATTAAATCTAAATTAACGTAGAAAAAAGTATTTTTTCAAGAGTAACACATGTGCTTTATTTACTATGTAATACGCATGCGTGAAATTGTCTTCAGCAAATTTAATATTTAATCGTAAAATGCAAATTGATTTCATGCTAAATTAAACTTGTGCAACTATAATCTGTTATATTCAAACACTTTTAAAGGTAATAAAATAAAAAAGCCATAAAAAGCCGGTGATTTCCTGTTAGTTTGATAAACAAAACAAATCCCGGAAATGAATCCGGAATTATTCGTACTTTAAAATATCGCAAACTTCCGGCTTTAACTTTTGTCAAATCGAAAGAAACGTAAGCAATGCCTGAGAAATTAACCATTTTGAGTAATTAAAATCATTTCAATTTTAGACTGTTGCCTTCCCTAAACTGTCCTTCATGGTAATGGTAAGATATTTACTTAGTAAATGCGATGAAACAGCAATACAAGTTCGTCATGTTCGTTGATGCTATGAATATAGTCAAGTTGATATCGACAATTTGAAAAGGGGCACCAACTTTTCAAACATCTCAAAATGACCGAAATTGTCTGGAAAAATTTCCGGATCCTTGGAACCACAGACTGAACCTAAATATTGATGCCCCCACAACAACCGAATGTAGTATTGCTATGTGTATCTTCTATGACAAATTGTTGCAGGATGAACTAAAATGTAGATTTAATTGCTGAACAAAACTTGATCACATCTATATAAAAAGGGAGAAAATTGACAAACAAAAATTTATCAAACCTCCATACTGAGTTATACAAACTTACTGTGGTTTCATTTATTTTTGTGTTCCAAATTTTGTGGATTTTGGAAAAATTGCATTTTCATGGATACTCGATTTCATAATTTAACAAATTGTGCATACAAAAAGTAACGGAAATTTGAATTTTTTGCAACACTTAAATTCACTGTTTACCTCGACCAATCAAAATTTACAAATAATGAGTATCCTAAATATAACTATTATAAATTAACAGTACCTCAAAATCATCCTCATAACCCCCATAGTCATTTTCTTCCTCTTCTTCCTCCTTGGGTTTGGATCTGCCATTCACTGCAGATTTTGTTCTTGCATCCTATAATTCAAAAAGTAAATACATGGATGTTTTCATATCTCATGTCTGTCAACTTCATTACAGAAGTAATACATGCAATATTTGAGGTCTGACCCAAATAGAAATTTAACCCTGTGACGCTGAGTTTTTTAAAGAAAATTTGACTGCATAGAAACAGTTCTCTTCTATGAAAACCGATTAATTAAATGATTCAGTTAGTCTACATAAAAATAATGCTGTTTACTTGTATCTAAAATTCAATACACCAGAAAACATATCTTTTTTAAATTGCATTGAAAAATTCCTATGAAACATGTAGATTTTATTGACCAACTATTATTATTGAAGTTGAGTTTCTTGTTTATCACATTTTTTGTTTATTCTATAGTCATGTGATCATCTCCAGATATCACTGAAGTTTCTGTTCAGTAAGAGTTTTTCCACCATAACTATTCTTACACTGAAATATAATGTTAGTTTTTGTTAACTTGTATGTAAGTAAAATAAACCTACAACCCAATAGAAAATTATTTACAATAATAAATCATAACCTTCCACATTACAATACTAAACCTTCCCCATTACAATAATAAACTACAACCTTCCACATTACAATAATAAACTACAACCTTCCACATTACAATAATAAACTACAACCTTCCACATTACAATAATAAACTACAACCTTCCACATTACAATAATAAACTACAACCTTCCACATTACAATACTAAACCTTCCACATTACAATAATAAAATACAACCTTCCACATTACAGTAATACACCATAACCATCAAAATTAGAATGATCATTGAAAAGTACTATAACCAGAATACACAGGCAAAATATGAAAATTGTTATGATTTTTTGAGAACTTCACAAAAATTTCATGCAAGTTTTCATGTTATATTCACATAAACATTTTTGATGAAGATTTTCTACTTCATTATTGACAATAAAAAAATGATTATAAAATAAATTTTCAATTAAGAAAACATTTCAATTGTAATTCTAAATGACTTTCTCACTTGAAAGATCTGGTAGACTTTATTTACATTTTTGTAGGTTAAAACCAACACTGTAAATTGAATTTAACACTTATTCCATGTGAAATTCATGTGATGGAAAATTTTGTCTGTGATTACAGATTACTTCTAGTTATGTTTGCATCAAATCATCAAGAACCACTATGTTTTAATCAGGATAGAATCAACGGATACTCTAAAAGTACTACTGTATAATTAAAAATTGTTGCACTTATAATGCTGAACAAATTTATTGTGATTTTTCGGTAAACATTTGTATTTTTTTTCTTCTGATTTTATTTTGGCTATTTTGCAACAAATTTAAAGACAATAATAAAAACTAAACAAATGTAGTAAAACTGTCAAAAATCATAAGACAAGATTCATACTATATGTGACAGACAATAATAAAAACTAAACAAAGAAATAAAGACTGTCAAAAATCACAAGACAAAATCAGTACTGTGTGACAGCTACTATTTTCAATAAAAGTGAGATCATACGATTGGCCAATTTGACAGTGGATTATATATATTGGCATAATCAAAATGATATTTTTTGTATGTAAATTTCAAGCAATAATAATAGTATGCCGAACTGTTAAAAACATCCCAAATTTACTATTCCTCCAAAGTTTCTTTAAAATAAGGAAAAAGTACTAAAGGGGCAAACTCAAGTTGACCTTAATTGTCCAGTTGATCTCTAGCAAAGTTTCATTGTAAAATCATGTTTTTTACCTTTTAAATCAAATTAAAATTTCAGTAAAACATTTGGTCAAATAAGATCCTAATCACATCTTGTCTTAGCTTTAATGAGTTTTTTGATAAAGTTATAAAAAAAAATATTTCAGTTAAATTGTTATACCAAAAAAATTTGAAAAGCTTAAATTATTAGAAAAATAAAGTTTCAAGCTTTACTTTAAAGAAGTTTTGTTATTCTTTATCAAAAATAATGCAAATATTAAACAACAAAATCCTTTACTTTGTCATGACATGTAAAATTAATACAAGCATTAAGGATGAAAATATCTCTTACAATTTCATAAAGTTTATCTGTTTCAAAAGTGCTAATGACCTGAAAGAAATAGGTTAATAGTACAAAGGTCAAGGACAGTTATTCATTCCTTAGGCCAAAAGTTAAGTAAAGGAAAATGTGTTTGCCATTGCCTGCAAACCTGATAAAATCAGTCAGAATATTACTTCATTGATGAACGAAACAATAAATCAAGGTGCACGTGCATGTGTACATATGATTTGGATGAACAAATTGTTTATATAACCAGTAAAAATATTTTCTTGTTTTTCATACAAACATTTTCCTCAAAATTTTTTTCAAGATCGATTATGCTAGAAATATATAGTAGACAATGACTCAATAAAACACTTATTTATAGAGGGTTGCATCCATAATCATATTTTTACTGGGAACACACAACATTTATTCCAGGAAAAGTTTCAAGTTGATTCTTAATTTCCTTCACTTAATATTACACCCATACAGTGGGAGTATCACTTCTCGTGTGGTACAAAATTTTAATGAAATTTGCAGAATAACGAAACTAAGTATCTGACAAAATATATATTTTGGACTGAACTCAAATGTGTTTTTCTTAAATCTGTCAATCTAAAACCCCACTAACCATAGAATGTGATAAACAAGGAGAAAACTTCTTCCACAGTATTGCATTAAGTCTTCAGTGAAATCAGATGTTAACAAAAATATTGAAAAATTTGATATCAAAAGAGATTAGCAGCCTTTTCAACCACATTTAAGGTAATAAAAAAATTGAACTAAGTAGATTCATGCAGTATCAATTTGAAACTTTCATCACAGTAGACTTACTCTAGATTTAGCCGATTTTCCTCTCTGAAATTAGGGTAATAGCTTTTATAGTATCATTATAAGTTTAAAGTTCCAAACTGCTGATGGTTCAAGTAAGGGCTATTCCATTAAAATGTATGTGGGAGGGTAGGAAGGGACTTTCAAAATATCCCTACAACCAAGAACCATTTTTTAGATAATTTTGCATAATGTAATAGATGCATACTGAAAATAGACCCATGACCCACATTCAATAATTAATCTTCCCTTCCTACCCTCCCACATACATTTTAATGGAATAGCCCTAAGTTACATGAGGCTGTTTGAAGGTGGTTTCTTTTTCAAGTAATACAAAGAATATATTCATTAATACCTAGAATTTTTTCAAACTTCTCCTCTTTTATACTATCTTCTAAAGTAATTATATACAAAATTGAACACAGAAATATCTTTCTTGCAATATCAATAAATTTTAAATATCGACATAGTCTTAGCCTTAAAGTTCATGATTAAAATTTATACTATGTATACTCTGATAAATAGCAACAATATTTTAGATGAAAAAAAAATAAAACAATAAAAAAATGAATATTGTCTCCGTCAATTTAAAATTTTTACCTCTTCTCTTGATCTTTTATCTCTATCATCCTTATCTCCATCTTTTCTGTCTCTCCCTTCTTTTTTCTCTCTTCTTTCTCTCCTCTGCTTCTCTCTTTCGTCCTGAAATGATCCAAAAATAAATGTCCATTCGTATATAACAATTCTTGAGTAAAAATCAATACTGCTGAAATAAAAATAATGCAAAGATTGTTCATTTAGGGACTGGAAAATTGAGTGTCAACAAGATTTAAACACAAATGACAATAAAAAAACATTTCAATAATTTGTAATAAAAATACAATTCAATTTTTTTAAATATCTATTGTATGTTTTAAACATCATTACAAAAAAAAAACAAGTAAAAGGAGACATTTTTAATATTTTTTCATTCTAATATGACTGTCTAGGAGAAAAGAAATAAGCTTCATAGGTTTTGATAGCTATGACTCTTACTCCAAAAATATTTATCTAAATCTATAAGCAAAATAAAAAAAACTTTTTTGGAAACTGTATTACAATAAGTGTATTAATTTCAACATCAGACATATAGACAAAGTTAAGTATGATTGTTTGAGATGGTAAAAAGTGTTACAGTATTGTTAAATAGGAATGAATGTCTGAAAAAAAAACAAACAGAATATGTCAATATGAAATCAAGTCAGAAGTGACTGTAAAACATACTTTTTGAAGTTAAAAAAAAACCAGTATAAATTCATTAGAAACATCAGATGACCTTTATTATACTCTGGATTCATTTATTTTAATTTTATCAATTTTCATATATTGAGGAAAAATGGTTTTCAGGGATATTTGATTTAATGGTTTTATGAAGGGGCTGTTCCATAAAAACATACATGGTCCCCAGGGAAGGCAGTCTCCTAATTGGGTAACCACCTATAGAGGCAAATTTAGAATTTCAATTATTTTCCACTGTACTCGACACCTAACCATAGTAGAGATTTCAAAGTGCCTTCCCTGGGTCCAATGTATGTTTTGATGGAACAGCTCTAAACAGAAAATGTGTACTTTGTTGAACATTTAAGGATGTTCGCTCCTCTTGTTTTTGAATTTTTACCAGATATTCGGAATCATCTAGTTTTATCCATGTAATGCCATTAAAAATTTTGCCCACTAACCCCTACTTTTCTTTCCATAATTTGATTACATATAGTTTAAAATGTCATCTTTGAAAATCTTATAAATTCCTTGTTATTTTTTCATCGTCATGAAAGAAAATAGGTGCCAATGTTAAATGTATGAAAAATCTAGAGAGAATTATTAACGCCAAATTTTCAATGGCTTTTATCTGAAAAACAAGCACACAGACCCTTCATTTTTTTCTGCTTTTTTAGTTTCTTTATTTGTATACTATCAATTTATAACAGTCTATTATAAAAAGCTTGTTATTTTGAAACAGAGGAGCGAACATCCTTTAGTTGGTAAACCTCTATACCCAGGAAATCCACAAAAAATTGGTACCCCTTGAATAAAAATGAATCCACAGTATACTTAAATACTCATAAAAGTCCAAGTACATGTACTCCTATCAGTTTTAAATTAATTTCACAGTATGAAAAGGCGATAGAAATTGAAGATTCAAACTATAAAGAATGAAATAAAGTTAATACAGACACACTTCTCAATTTTGTCAAAAGATATGTGTTATTCTGACAAACAAACAGGATTTTTCAATTGATTTTTTTCATTAAATGACATGACAAATATATTTTTATGAAAATTAATGAAACTTGTTCAATAAAGCAAATTCTTTATGGTTAACAGTATGAACTTTTTCACATGTCAAAATTTGCCTTCTGAACATATATCAAAATTTGCCGTCTGAACATATATCAAAATTTACCCTCTGAAGATCTACTTGCTTAAATATTATAAAAAATTGCATTTAATTCTTTCGAAAATATGTTTACATCAACACAATTCTTTTGACTTAAAATTAAAAAAAAAAGCTTAATTAAAAGACTATCAGCACACAGATGATTTTAACCTCATCAAGTTCAGTTTGCATTTCATCATCCTCTTCGTCTCTATGGCGACGATGTTTACGACTTCCCTATTGCACAATACAATTAATGCATCAATATACATGGTTTCTCTTTCTTTTTTTTTTAAAAGTTTTAATACATTTAAAAATTATGATGAAATGGAGCTGTTACAAACCACTGCTATAACCGGTTTGAGTTCTATAAATCTTTGAAAATAAATTAGTAACATTTAGATTTTTTTATTAATTCAAAAATAAGATGTGGTATGATTTTAAGTGTTTCTTTGACTATTAATTTCAAAATTTTGCTTGATGAAACAAATATTTACACATCAGGTGTTATAATGAAAATTTGAATAGTTGATTAAAGTTTTTACTTCTTTTTAATTAAGGAAAGTGGATTTTCCATGGAATAACCATGAACCACCATGTACAAATAAAAACTTACCAGAGTATTAGCAGATGAGGAAATATTTTTTTCTCCTAAATTCCAGTGACCAAAATGGGTGTGCGGATTAAAGGTAAATATAGGTTATACATTATACACTTTCTATTGTGGCCTTTAATGATGAACCAAGTTTACATACAATGTCAAAATTTGCACATCTAATATATTCTTGCCCTGCTTCGGAGAGCCACATCGGCCTATGAAATTTTCTTAGCGAGGTAGAAGGCAGACAAAAAATTTTAATACTGAACCAAGTTTATCACATTAGAAGCAATGAAATACCTAGATTTCTCATTCAAATAAAATCAAATAATTTCCTATTTAGTCAAAAAAAAGTTTCATATATCAATTGTTTAATTGTTTGACTAACTTACTTCTTCTGTTTCTTTGTGTCTATCTCGGTCTTTCTTTTCTTTTCTTCTATCCCTATCATCCTATTTCAAAAACAATTATTATGAACTTATCATGAATGAAATTACAATAAAACAATAAAATAACTCTTTCAAATTCTGCAAGTATGAATAATTCACAAAAACCATATTATTACATTTTACTCTGATACGAAATTTACAAATTGAAACCAGTTTTATCCTTTCAATGCAAATTACATTAAATTCGATTTTAGTCCTTGAAATTTGTAAATGTTCACTTATATAGACTAAGCAAAACGAATACGACATTTTCTTGCTAAGCATAACCCACTCATAATTTAAAGTATTGGAAAACATGACGTGGGTTTCGACAGATCCAAAAAGTGCTCACACCTTATAACTCATCACTGCCAAGTCACTGCCTTAATATGAAGTCACCCTGTTCAGCAATACTGGAGAAATGCATAGGTGTAAGAATTCAACATATTAAAAATTTAAGACAAACAGAAATTATGTGTCTGACAGATCTGAAAAGTGGTCAACTTATTAAAACTCATCACTATCAAGCTACTGATCAAATATGAAATCATTCTGTTCAGAATTACATGAGAAAGTATTAGAAATATTCGTTTGAAGAACAGACAGATGAAAGGATGAATGGACAAGGCGAATGCAAAGTAGTTCCCACTCCTAGAGTGGAGGTATAATAATAATTGAAGTTTTAAGACAATTCACAAATTTACATGTAAAAATCTTTTTCTAACCCTAGTGCATTTGCAAGTCATAAAATATATTGCTTATAGAAATATTAATATGTATCATCAGTTACGTTAAACTTTATGAGACAAAAAAAGCATTTGATTTTACACAGTGCAGCACTATAGACTAAACTAAAATAGATTTTACTTCATCCCTATGATGTTTGCGTTTCTCTCTATCATCATCGCCTCTATGTCCCCTTCTATCTCCATCTTCATCCCTATGTCGTCTTTTCTCTCTATCATCATCATCTCTGTGTCTTCTCTTTTCCCTGTCATCGTCACCTCTATGTCGTCTTCTCTCATCGTCTTTGTCTCTTCTTCTTTCATCATCATCACCTCTGTGTCTTCGTTTTTCATCATCATCCTTATGTCTTCTCCTATCTTCATCTTTGTTACTTCTTTCTCTATCTTCGTCTTTGGGTCTTCTTCTTTTAGAGTCATCATCATCTTTTCTTCTTCTATCATCATCTCCCTAAGTAATAACGATTTATAATATACACAAAACACATCTTAAAATATATAGAATATACAACACGAATAGGTGCAAAAGTTTTTTCTTCCTTTATATAACTTTCAAAATGAAGAACAGCAATGAAATGGATATACCTTTGTGTATACTAGTCATAATCTACAATGGATTCATTCTTTCCCTGGGTACTAAAGTTAGTGGATTGAGAAAACAAATATTTTCATGATAACTTCATCAATTTTGACAAATTCTGGGAAAAAAATCTACCGGTATAAGAATTGTAAATAAAATGCTCCGCAGGGCGCAGCTTGATACGACCGCAGAGGTCGAACCCTGAACAGTTGGGGCAAGTATGGACACAACATTCAATCTTGATACAGCTCTGAATTTGGATTGTGATTAAATATTTGACACAGCATAGGTTTCTGACACAGAATGAATGTGGTCTAAGAACTTAAAAATTTTAAATTGGACATTCACCTATTATGGTCCAATATCCAAAATCTAAATACATGGTTAGATTCAGCATATCAAAGAACCCCAAGAATTCAATTTTTGATGAAATCAAACAAAGTTTAATTTTGGACCTTTTTGATCTCAATGTGGACAAAATAATAACAGGGCCCAAAAATCAAAAATCTAAATACATGGTTAGATTCAGCATATCAAAGAACCCATATATTCAATTTTTGTTGAAATCAAACAAAGTTTAATTTTGGACCCCAATTTGGACCAACTTGAAAACTGGGCCCATAATCAAAAATCTAAATACATGTTTAGATTCAGCATATCAAAGAACCCTAAAAATTCAATTTTTGTTAAAATCAAACTTAGTTTAATTTTGGACCCCAATTTGGACCAACTTGAAAACTGGGCCCATAATCAAAAATCTAAATACATGTTTAGATTCAGCATATCAAAGAACCCTAAAAATTCAATTTTTGTTAAAATCAAACTTAGTTTAATTTTGGACCCTTTGGACCTTTATGTAGACCAATTTGAAAAGGGAACCAAAAATTAAGAATCTAAATACACGGTTAGATTCGGCATATCAAAGAACCCCAATAATTCAATTTTTGATGTTATCAAACAAAGTTAAATTTTGGACCCTTTGGACTTCAATGTGGACCAATTTAAAAACGGGGCCCAAAATCCAAAAACTTAATACACGGTTAGATTCAGCATATTACAGAACCCCATATATTCAATTTTTGTTGAAATCAAACAAAGTTTAATTTTGGACCCCGATTTGGACCAACTTGAAAACTGGGCCCATAATCAAAAATCTAAATACATGGTTAGATTCAGCATATCAAAGAACCCCATATATTCAATTTTTGTTGAAATCAAACAAAGTTTAAATTTGGACCCCGATTTGGACCAACTTGAAAACTGGGCCCATAATCAAAAATCTAAATACATGGTTAGATTCAGCATATCAAAGAACCCCATATATTCAATTTTTGATGAAATCAAACAAAGTTTAATTTTGGACCCTTTTGATCTCAATGTGGACAAAGTTGATAACGGGGCCCAACAATCAAAAATCTAAATACATGGTTAGATTCAGCATATCAAAGAACCCCATATATTCAATTTTTGTTGAAATCAAACAAAGTTTAATTTTGGACCCCGATTTGGACCAACTTGAAAACTGGGCCCATAATCAAAAATCTAAATACATGGTTAGATTCAGCATATCAAAGAACCCCATATATTCAATTTTTGTTGAAATCAAACAAAGTTTAATTTTGGACCCCGATTTGGACCAACTTGAAAACTGGGCCCATAATCAAAAATCTAAATACATGGTTAGATTCAGCATATCAAAGAACCCCATATATTCAATTTTTGTTGAAATCAAACTAAGTTTAATTTTGGACCCTTTGGACCTTTATGTAGACCAATTTGAAAACAGAACCAAAAATTAAGAATCTAAATACACGGTTAGATTCGGCATATCAAAGAACCCCAATAATTCAATTTTTGATGAAATCAAACAAAGTTAAATTTTGGACCCTTTGGACCTCAATGTGGACCAATTTAAAAACGGGGCCCAAAATCCAAAAACTTAATACACGGTTAGATTCAGCATATTAAAGAACCCCAAGAATTCAAGAATAAAACCCCATTGAAATTGATCAAGAAATAAGCAATTTATACGAAGTATCTTCTTTTGCACAATACTGTGCAATTGATTATTTCTTACTATTGCGCAATACTGTACAATTGACAATTTCTTGCTATTGCGCAATATTGTGCTATTGGATATTTCTTGCTATTGCGCAATACTGTGCAATTGAAGATTTCTTGCTATTGCGCAATACTGTGCAATTGAAGATTTCTTGCTATTGTGCAATACTGTGCAATTGAAAATTTCTTGCTATTGCACAATACTTATTATATAATAATTTACACATCCTGTTTGGTGTGTATCTCCTACCATATCATTATTATTTGCTTTTAAATATAAATCAGAAATAACCAACTTAAAATGGAAAATTTTAAAAGAAAAAAAAAAGGAAAAAAAGAAAAAAAAAAGAAAAAAAAAATCCCCCCCCCAAAATTTTTTGAACCCCCTTATGATTCATCACCCCCAAACTCAATCTCAGCCTTCCCTTTGTGGTATGGTACCTTGCAGTACAATTTCAGAGAGATCCATACACTTGAACACAAGTTATTGTCTGGAAACTAGAAAAATGCTTATTTTTGGCCCCTTTTTGGCCCCCAATTCCTAACATTTCGGGCAATTACCCCCAAACTCAATTCCAGCTTTCCCTTTGTGATATGGAACCTTGTAGTACAATTTCAGAAATATCCAAACACTTACACACAAGTTATTGTCATGAAACTAGAAAAATGCTTGTTTTTTGCCCCTTTTTTGGCCCCTAATTCCTAACATTTTGAGGCAATTACCCCCAAAATCAATTACAGCCTTCCCTTTGTGATATGGAACCTTGTGGTACAATGTCAGAGAGATCCATACACTTACACACAAGTTATTGTCTGGAAGTTACAAAAATGCTTATTGTTGGCCCCTTTTTGGCCCCTAATTCCTTAACTGTTGGTACCATAACCCCCAAAATCAATCCCAACCTTCCTTTCATGGTATTGAACCTTATGGTAAAATTTCATGGAGATCCATTTACTTAAACTAAAGATAGAGTGCGAAAACCAATGTGTCTTCGGACGACGCCAGACGACGCCGGACGACGACGACGACGACGCCAACGTCATACCAATATACGACCAAAAAATTTTCAATTTTTGCGGTCGTATAAAAACCATTAAACTTGTGCTTCAGAATCTGTTTTTAAAAAGTTCTTTTTTTTAGGGGTGGGGGATAAATCATTCATTCTCCATTTTTTTTTAAGTAATGTGTCATTCCATTTTCATTTATAATTTAATGAATGTACTGGTTAATAGTTATAAGGCAGTATGGTGCAAATAGTCTCTGATTTACTAAATAAACTGTTGTCAAAGAGATATGTCTAGCCAGACTAGCCTGTGTGTAATTTTTATGGTAACATGCAAATGTTGAAATTGAAAATGGCAATACTTTAACATGTTAGCTATGCAAAACATTTAAAAGTCAATGAACCATGACTTAATGAGCAGTGTCAAAAAATCTATGTGGAAATAAGATGTGTCAATGCTAATGCCACTTCCTACCAAATACCATTGACTTTCCTTTAGGGGTTCCCTTTTAACTGAACTTATCAAAAACTTTAACATCTAAACTAAGAAAAAGTTTCAGTCAACAGACCATGACTGTAGGAACAAGCCAAATAGTCTGTAGAAATGAGATATACCAATATCAAAAGCTCTTCAGAGCTTATGTTTGTACTTGTATTGCATACCGACTTTAAATAAAGCTTTATGTCTTATAAATACAACACAATACCCAATATAACCAAAAACTGCACTCCCAAGTCTTGCCTTTGAGACTTTGTTGAAGCGAGAAAAAAACTGTGATAGAGTAAGCCTAATGCTATCACTATGATAGAGAATCAAAATTAAAGAGAAAATGCAATCATAAAAAACATCTTTTTCAACCTTAGATTTTCCTTCCCGTTTTTCTCTTCTTTCTCTCCTCTGTCGTTCTCTGTCCTCCTAAAACGATAAAAATATCTGATATATGAAATTAATGTTTCAATGGCAAATCTTTTAAGAGACCTAATCTTTGATCAGAAAAAAAAAATGAAAAACAATAATTTTTTTTTAAAGAAAACAAAAAATTAATTCCTTTTAAAACATCTTGTAACTTTTTTCCATAAAAAAAATGATAATCTCTACTTAGACAATAGTCTTATCAAATGCTTTAAACACCCTGATTGCACCAATGATGTATCAGAAAATACTAAGCATTTTGTATTTTCAAATATGAAAAAAATTCTAAAAAGCATCTTTTGCATGCAACTTTTTTTTACCTCTGTAGTTTCATTTCTATCAGGAGAGTCTCTGTCCCTTCTCCTACGACGACCCTGCCACAACAAACAAAATGTAATACACATTTATATAGGATCTGCATGAAAATACATGCATTATAAGCTAACATCTACAAATCTGACTACACTACATAACTGCTTCAGTAATTACGTTAAATTCATTTAGATGTCAAAACTAATTCACATCCTTGTTCTTCGTCTCACGGTATTTCATACCGCATATATTCTTAATTTGATAACACTTTCTGATTTTAATGAAATGATATTAAGTACTTGTGTCTTTAGCATATAAACCTCTTTATCTATATATTTCACTGACAAAATCGAAGTATCATACACTATAATGCATATTAGCTAAGTCTATAGAGGTCTCATTGGCAATCATAACACATATTCTTATCTATGTATGGGACCAAGAGAAGGCACTTTGTAAATGGTGTATTCATCTCTAGAGGCAAATTTAGAATTTTTCTTATACATTTTATACTTTCACTGTATAAAAACAGCCAATAGATGATATTTCAAAGTGTTTCCATGAGGGTAGCGGAGAAGCAGTAAATATCAGTTTTCATGTCTTTATTTGACCTGGCTGTGGTCCCACCCTCACGGCAAGCATCCTACCTAAGATCACCAAGGTCGTTCACTATGCTTTGAGTTTGTTAATGAGATAAAAAGGGAAAAAAGATTCCATTTTTCTCTATTAATGGATATATTATTTCTTGGTCAATTTTTAAATTGGTGATTTTGCACTATTTTTGACTATGAATTAAAATCAAAGGAAAATTTAAAAAAAATAGGTTTGTTTCCTGCATGCAACTGACCCTTAAACAATTTTGTTACTGAAGATTGTTCCAGGAATTTGAGTGACAACTTTTTTTCTGAAAAACATGGATACTGTTCTGGACTGTTCCTTTGACAAATAGCAGTTGTTTCCCTTTACTTTCATCACTATACACATTCAAATATTAAGTTTGACACATTTAAATGCCAGGACTAGGATGTGAAACAAACTCCAGCTAACAAATACAGACTCTGCTTGCATTGACTATTTCCTTTAACAAACAAGTTTTATATCCTTTTGTGTAATCATTTCGTGTGTTGCCAAGGAAACTGGTTATTTGCAGCTGTAATGCATAGTTTTCTATATCATCCAAATATTTTAATTGATAAAGAACAAAAAATGTCAACCCAAACCAAGCCCTACTTACCAAACTATTTGAAAATTGGAGAGTCAAAGTGGGAAACAAACACATTTTCTAAGGATGGCCTTGTCGCACATGAGTACATGTATTAGCATTTGTAATTTGATTAACATTAAAACTCACATTAAATTGGTATCTAAAAAATAAAACTACTTGCCTAAAAACCTGTTAAATAGTATGTTTATCAAAATCAACTTTAGTATTTTAGTGTTATATCTTATCTAATACTTTTGTCACATGAAAATCATACCTCATCATCTTCGTTTCTATGGTGACGGTCTTTGTCTTTATGACGTTTTCTATCATCATCATCCCTATGATGTCGTCTTTCTTTAGTTTCTAAAAAGTGCAATGAACATTCAGATATAATAAATATGATATGAAGAACAAGCATGTTCAATTCTTTGGCAATTTTCTTCTTGTTTTCCCTTCATGATTAGATTACAATCAAAAACTTCTTTGTTTGCATCTAATTATGCTTTCCCATGAACTCATAGTTAGAATAACATTCTTCGTTCCTCATTTTAATTTGTTGACAATTAACATGGTGAAGTTAAATTTTCTACCTTAAATGATTCTCCTATAACATACCATCTTCATCCTTTCTTCTTCTGTGTTTCTCCTCACCATTTTGATCTTCTCTGAGTCTTTCCTTTTTCCTTTCTTCCCTCTCCCTCCTTAGAGTATCTTTCTGTAATGTTAAATACAAAACAATGTTTATCAGGCATAATTTTTACTAAGTATAAACACATTTTTCAAAACTGCCAATTAACAACAATACAAATTTTGCTACATTTTACACTAAAATAGAATACTGGTATGTATCTTTTATATTGCAACTAAAAAAAACCTGATTAATGTATTCACTTTTCTTTGTAAATGTTGAAACTCAGTGGATACCTGGGCCTTTATACCAACAACCCCAAGATATTTTGAAGGGCATTCAAGAAAAATTGTATGCATTCATAACTTCAAAACTTGTGATGACAGTAGTTTTTATAGCCTGAGCTAATTTAACAAAGTAATATTATTTCTAACTCCAATATTTACAATCTAAATATGTAAATCTAGATAAACTAAGACGTTTTTTGCGTGTGAGTGTGTGTGTGCACTGTTCTTTTAGACAAGCTTCAAAACTATAATAGTTAATCTGTTTTACCATCATTCTTATTTAAATGCATTTCCTTCAGTCAAATATTGGCCATATCCTAACCAAAATAGATATTATTATTATAAGCCAAAAACAAATAATACATGTGTTTCCGCTAATGTGCTGAAAAAAAAAAGGGGTAGGTAGGTAGGCAATATCATTTTATTTTACAAACATTTTTTAGCTGGTTACTACTAGGGAATCAGTCTGACTTAAACAGTGCTTGTTCCAAAATGGCATAAAAAGTGTTATGGTAGGCACTAAAAATTAGGGTAGGTAGGGTTAGTGGAAACACATGTAATATTTTTTTTTGTCTAAAAGATGTATCTAGGAATGAGGTACACATCCTAACAAAAAAAATTGGTGGTAAATACATGTTGCCATTTCCGTCTGATGCAAAATCTATCAAGTTTAATTTAATCAATAATAAATATAATTTTAATTATGAAAAATTACCCCCATTGCTTTCTTCAATTCACTGGGTGTCCAAGTGTCTTCTTTGGACTTCTGAAAAATGGTTTGTGATTAGTATTTTTGAACTTTTTTAATGGCTTTGTTTGAATCTGTAGTTTTACAAAGTAGTTGTAAACAAACACGTTTTTATGCCTTTTCATGATCATGATGATGAAGAATACAAATATAGACAATTAAACGTTTGTGCAATTTACCATACTATACCTATAATCAACCCCCATATATATCTATGAAATCACACATGAGATATAAAAGAAACAAGGTTGTTTAAATATATTTGCTTTTTTTACAATCTGTATATTCACTGGCCATCAATGTACCTTTTGTATATAAATATATCAATCAACAGTCATTAGAATTCATGCTAATTAAATACATGAAATACTGTTATGACGCCAAAAAGCTTGAGACTATCACCAATTTTTTTTTTCAAATTCCCAATATTTTCATTTGATTAACATGAAAGAATAAAATCATTTATAATAAATTTCTCATTCCATTATGGTTAATGAATTTGGTGATTTCTTAGTTAGGGTTAGATAAAGAGTCAATAACAAAAAGCTATTGCATGGTGCTTTATCACTTGATATACGTATCAACATATTTTATTGGAATGACATGATGGGTGTTGCATGTGCGGCTGGATCTGCTTACCCTTCTGCAGCACCTGAGATCACCCCCCATTTTTGTTGGGGATGGTGTTATTTTCATTAGGGATGGTGTTGCTCAGTCTTTAGTTTTCTATATTATGTTTTATGTACTGTTGTGTGTCTATTGGTCTTTTTTCTTTTTTAGCCATGGTGTTGTCAGTTTATTTTCGACTTATGAGTGTGAAATTATGTCCCATTGCCATTGGTATTTTTGCCTCTCTTTTAATAAAAAAAGAAGTATTGAAATCAATAACGAGAGCCATCAGACTTTGATGGCGAATGAACCTAGGGTGAAACAGGTTGTGCTCAAGTCAGGAAAAGTGGGGTATTCCCTGTTTTCAGGGATCATCCCCGTTTTCTGGTGTTAAAAAACCCCAGTTTACAGGGACTTCCTTTTTCTATTTCAATTCATGGCATGAAATTTACAAAAGCGCATGTTTTTACTGTATCAGTAGTATTTGTAAATACTTTAAGTATCTCAGGAACAACAAAACATGAATAAGTGAAGCCTTGTTTTTTTCTAAAACTCAAAAACATACAAATCTTTTGTTTAGGAATCAGTTGATCAAGCTGCATGCTCCAGGTGAAACTGATCATAACTGAATTATGTTCACTTCTATTGAAATTTTCTATTCATTGAATTTAAATGCCTAAGTGATTAACTTATCTTTTTGTCTTCTCATAATTGATGATCAAGGTATGAATTGGTGAACAAAGGAATTGTTTTGTTGTGAGTTGAGCATCAAATAAGACCTGAAATTAGCTTGATTTTTGAACTTATAAAAACACTTGCTATCATATAACATTGTTATCACATGTAGAAGGTGCGCTTTTGTAGATTTCATACCATAAATTGACAAGGAAAAAAGAAGTCCCTGTTTACTGGGGGTTTTTAACACCAGAAAACTGGGGTGTTCCCTGAAAACAGGGAATACCCCAGTTTTCCTGACTTGAGCCCAACCTGGTGAAAGAACATGACATCGAGTTCCTGAGCAGTCATAGGTTCATGCAAGTTGGGTAAGGTCATAACCTGAAGTTCTGAAATACAAATATATCTTCTTTTCAATTATTATCTGCATCAGGTGTATGTAAAATGTAATGGTAATGTACATTGTAAGCATAAAAAAGACACCAGTTCGAGGTGAGGTAGTTACCAAATAATTTTCCCGAGTAGACTAAATAGAGCTTAATAAGGGTTCTGATGTGGGCCAACTCCGAAAATCGCTCCTGCACAGAATCCCAAAAGGGATTAATTGTTTAACATTTTTCCTTTTCCTTACATGAAACTTCAAGAGCTATTAAAACATTGCTGAAGATTATGAGTTCAATCGGATACCGTATAGCCAATCAAAGACTGCAAGTGCTTGAAATGTTGCAAATAACTATAAGATTAAATAGAAAAATCAACTAATCAGCTGATTTTTATTTTGCAACTTCACCGGGATAGTTTAACTATAGATGAAAAAGGTCTTATTAAATACTCAATGACAAAGTAATACGTGCTCTTTTTCTGTACTTTACCAGAATGTTTAAAAATACTCTGCTCTTACTTTTTCGACAGGCATTTGAGCGTGTCTATTTAAGCAGATTTAATCAAAACTTTACAGAAATTTGTTCATCACTAACGCCGCCATTTTCAAAGCTTTGGTATTTACGTAAATAGGTCGTAGATTTTAATGACATATGAAATTTTCTCTAACAATAGTTTAATTAAATTTTGTTTATGGTTACCAAAATTCTGTAATTTTGGAATTTAAAAAACAATTTGCATCTTAAAAATAGTCTTATTATTTGCAACAACCGTAACTCAATTTATGGGAATAGTTTATTTTGTTAAAGGGGTGAAAACATAATTTATTTTGCATATTAATGGAAAATATTTTACTCAGAAATAAAGAAATCACAATTACATTATAGAAAATTTATTCAATTATAATTTCCTTTATTTGCAATAAAGATATTATCAATGGCAAAGTATGTAATATACATTCATAATAATAGTTGGCAGGTAAGTTCCCTATAGATTAGCCCATTTGTTCTCAGGTACAACAAGTGCTGTCTGCTACAGGTTTAGCAATAAAAATAACATTAGTCAAGGCCAGTACTGTATATTTTTACACATCAATTACATTGGTTGATGATTCGTCATTATATAGTTTTGTATCAAAATGGCAGATGCAAATAAAGAGTCTCCCAAAAAGCTGAAGAAGAAAACGGCAGCAGATGAGACTCAACTACTATACTTAGTGACAAAGTATTTCAAACTTGCAGGAGTGACTTTAGCAGTATGGTTTGTTGGGTGGACAAGATTCAGCCCAAGTTGGTTGCTATTAGGATTAGTGTTGTATTTGTGGAAAGAAAGACATGTCAAGCAGAGACATCGTAGGATGAAGATGATGCAGCAGATTGCAGAAAATGAGAAAGAAGTTATTTTGGCAACTGTGGAGGATTTGCCATCTTGGGTAAGTTTACCTGAATCAGGGTCTGTTCGCTCAAAATCGTGTTTGCTCTCTTTCTCATTCGCCTCCTTTCATGTTCGCACCCTACACTTTCGCATGTTAAACAGGTGCAGTGGCATCATGAAAGAAGTGAGCTCAAATAGTGCATCAGTGATCCCATGATATTTGAAAATAGCACTGCTTCTTTAAAACTAGAGCACCACATTTTATTTATGATGCATTGTGATATAACATTTATCCCCTTATTGAGCTACATATATATGATAAATGCACAGCGTTTTTACTAGTATCACTCCAAACGTTAAAATTGAGAATGGAAATGGGGAATGTGTCAAAGAGACAACAACCCGACCATAGAACAGACAACAGCAGAAGGTTACCAACAGGTCTTCAATGCAGCGAGAAATTCCCGCACCCGGAGGCGTCCTTCAGCTGGCCCCTAAACAAATATATATACTAGTTCAGTGATAATGAACGCCATACTAAACTCCAAATTGTACACAAGAAACTAAAATTAAAAATAATACAAGACTGACAAAGGCTAGAGGCTCCTGACTTGGGACAGGCGCAAAAATGCGGCAGGGTTAAACATGTTTATGAGATCTCAACCCTCCTCCTATACCTCTAGCCAATGTAGAAAAGTAAACGTATAACAATACGCACAATAAAATTCAGTTCAAGAGAAGTCCGAGTCTGATGTCAGAAGATGTAACCAAAGAAAATAAACAAAATGACAATAATACATAAATAACAACAGACTACTAGCAGTTAACTGACATGCCAGCTCCAGACTTCAATTAAACTGATTGAAAGATTATGTCTTCATCATATGAATATCAGGCACAATCCTTCCTGTTAGGGGTTTAGTATCATACCATCATAACATATATGAGAAGAACATAACCCGTGTCATGCTTTCTAGGCCCCCTGCCCCCCCCTTTTTTTTCAAAATCTTGGATCCGCAGATCCGCACCTGGGCATGACTGTGTTATAACTGTACTGTCCTCAGCAGGGTCATCATTAACATTAGGGTGGTAGGTACATGTAGATATTTGCTACAAGTATCCTAATTATGCCTGAAACGGAATGGGATGTCACTGTCATGACTGTTAAATTACATGTATATAGTCCCTTTTTGGTCAATATCTTGAAACTGAACTTGAAAGTATGACTATCTATAGTCATTGGATTGCTTGTTGAAGATAAATACTACTTTCAGTTTTACTGCAAGGCCAAAAATAAAATTTAAATTGTTTGATGTTGCCTACCTACCCACCTAAAAAGCAACCTACATTTGTACTCGAAAAAATTTATGACACAAATCGTTTCCATTTTTTTAAAAGAAACTTTATTGCTCTAACATGGTTTTCTTGTCTTAAATATGTAACTTATGTTGTTGGCCCCAAACAAATAAAATCCCAACCTACAGTAACCTACCCAACCCTACAAGGCATGGGTAGGCAACATTAAACAAATAATTTTTTAAGTGTGGCCCAATTGCAACATTGACTTATCCTAGACTGTAACATCAATTTCATCCCTCATATTTTAAGAGTTATCAGGGGTTTTTCAGGGTATTTCGGGGAAAAGCAGCCTGGCCAGTTTTAGAATTTTTTACGCGATTTTCAATGAAATTGGGAAAAACAATAAATATACCAAATGTGAGTTTTAGTGTGTTTGGTTCATTAGAAATTATCCTTTTTGTGAAAATAAAGTAAGAAACTACATGATTGCTATTTATTATTTTATTTCCTGTTCTTTTTGTTTTTAAAATGATTTTTTGGACTGTTTGGGAATTTTTCCTCCCAAAATTGGGAAAAATGTAGGGGTTTTGCCATTGGGAATGGGTCCGAATACCGGACCTTGTGGAATGCTAGAAAAATCCATGGTTATTTCTGTTTGCTGTACGTCATGTTAGAAGACACAAATTTGAAAAAATCAAATAATTTAAACTTTTTATAGGGTTCGTTGAAATTTTCATTTGTTGAAGCATTTTTGATTTACCACTATGATCTAGATAAGGATCTTTAATGAGACCTAAAGTTGCAGACAAGGGCAATAACTCCAACTAAAAAACCTATCTTTTACATTGTATTATTTATTTTTATACATTTTGATAAACTGGAATTCTTAGATTAGAAGTGGTTGTTATAGAAATCAATATTATTATTTTGAAAAGTAAAGTTAGAAGATTGAACATGTTTAAGGCTTTCAAATAAAAAATAATTATAAACCTGGAATAGTTTGATTTTGGTAGCTGAAGTTGTCTCATTGGCAATCACAGCATGCCTCCTTATCTGTTATATACATGTAGATAATTGTCTATTGCTGAAGACTATTTTATGTTCATGATTTTGATGTTGGGTTGAGTTGCTGTGTCTTTTAGTCTCATTGATCGATGTACTAATTCAAATCTCCTTTTATTCATACATTCATTTTAAACATTTGTATTTGAAATAGCATAAAATTACTATTAGTACCTGATTACACTTGTATCTTTTGAATTCTTCCACAAAATCTGAGATGCTCAAAGTAATTGTGAAATGGTTTCCTTCTGAAAACTGATTTGGAGCTTTAAAAGAATACATTCACATATACTTGCATGTTTGTATACATAGAAATCTTTTGAATATTTCAAATTTACTACTGTGTACATGTATAATTATTGGGATCAGTAATGTGTAAAATGTTTGTGAACCTTGAGGCACACGCATGAGTAATAATGTATTCTGTAAATGTTATTGTACAATGTACATTAATATGTTGTAAAAACATCAACATGAATGAAAAATTCTACTCAGGTATACCACAAAATGTATGGGAATAAATAATTGATTGAGAAGTGTCATGTGTAGGTGTAGAAAAATTTTATATTAGATATTACACTGACTTCTTTGACATAATAGTATACACGAATAAGACAGATAACTGATGAGCCACTTAAAATTGGGTAACACCTTAAAAATGCATAAAATAAGTGTGGGCAAGAAACTACATGAACAATACCTAACATAATAACTTGACAGACATTTTGGTGTATAATCAATATGTAATATTTTATATTTCATTGCAATATATATTCTAAATACAACAAAAATATGAAAAATAAAAATTGAGGTTTTATTTCTTTTTCATTTATATTTGTATTGCTAAACTAATACTCTCATATATCATGTATATAACATGTATAAAGATGATATTAAAAAAACCATAAAAAAAATTATATGAATGAAAGAAAATATACAAGATTAAATTACTGAAAATCATTGTTCCTTGTTATCATATAAAATGGTTGATTCTTAATTAGCAGCCCTCTCATTCTGGACCCACATGTAAACCTATTATTGGAAAGGACAAGAAATATTTTTTCAAGTATAAGTAAGCTTTTCCTTTTGATTACCTGGATTTAGCTAAAATCTTCTTGATTATATATGCTATATTTTCTTACTTCAGAGTGTACCTTAAAATTTTATCATACAAATACAGTGTTTGTATATCCTAATTCAACTATATTTCTTTCTGTCTTTAGTATAAGAAACTAACTGACCAATTTAAATCTTGCATTCTGGTATAAACTATGACTGAAGTATTTTGACGGAATTATTCAAAGTCTATATCAGAATGATCAATATCATAACAATATGTATTTTAATCAATCTGACATTGATGTTGTGTCTCTGATACAGCTTACATAAAAAGGCATGTACAAAACAATTTAAAAGTCAGCAGTAACTACAATGAACTATGGTTATATTAATTTCTTTATTTTTCCAGGTTCATTTTCCTGATAGAGAAAGAGCTGAATGGTTTAATCAGGTAAAATAAAAGTTAAGATGAATGTTAGTGTATATATTATATAGGTATAAATCAACTGTTGATTGCACCAAATATTTACAGTCACAAAGTCATAAATAGAATTTTCAAAAAGTTTGCCTCGGTATGGCCACCTACATTTGTATGATGGTTTGAGGCGTATTGTTTTCCAGTCAGTCCATCTGTTTCTATGTCTTGTGTTTTACTTAAGTCACAAAATGTAAAAGTGAGTTGAGTAGAGTTTATACTTGCCCTTTGAGAACAGTATTGAAAAACCAAGCTAATTTATAATATTTTGATGCAAGACTATTTGTCTTTAGTTTTTCTGCATTGAAATATTAATTCTGTACAGGTTTGTTTTTGATACACTAGATTGTGCTTCCTGTACTGTCTATGAAATTTTTAGTATGAATAGAATTGAGAATGGAAACGGGGAATGTGTCAAAGAGACAGCAACCCGACCAAAGAACAGAAAACAGCCTAAGGCCACCAATGGGTATTCAATGCAGTGAGAATATCCTTCACCTGGAGGTGAACTAATTCAGCTGGCCCCTAAACAATAATGTATTCTAGTTCAGCCTATATATAGAAGTTTACTTTCAAGTACAATCTACTGTATCACTAGTCAGTCAACACTGAGGTTGTCAGTTCAAATCCAGCACGGAGCAGGTGCACTCGACTCCAATCTTAATTGACTAGGATTGTCAGTTTTCCTACCGAAGGTCGTTGGTTCTCTCCAGGCACTCTGGCTTCCTCCACCAATGGCTTCCTCCACCAATAAAAACTGACCGCCACAAAATATCACAATCGTGTTGAAAGTGACAATGACTGATTTTTTTTTAAACACTAATAATATAAGGCATATAGTTTTTTAAATAGACAAATTCAATATCCAATATCTCCTGTTTACATGCATTGTAGTTTTGATTAAGTATACTTGCTTATAATTCAGACAGTAATCATGGTAATCATAGACACATGGATAGGTATATAGATTAGATGTTTTTGATGTATTATAACATCAAGATATTGGAGTACTAGGGGGAAAGTTAAAAGCAGTATTGTCTTAAAAGTATGAATCATATTGCATTTATAACTACTGTGTACTTGGAAGCAGCTGTAGTATTGATTCAAATATACAAAATGAAGAAGTGTAGTTGGTTGTAGTATAAAATCATGTAAGAGATTTAAATTGCTTCATATTGATGGTTTCATTTTACTTTAAGTAATAGTATTAAAATTCCTTTGAACTGTTCACCACTCATGATATAAGGAAAACCTTTGTAATTGAAAGCAGGAAAATCACTGAAGCATTAAACGGGGTTAAAGCAACTGTGTGTGAAGATCATTACATTTATCCCACAACAAAATATTTGGGGAAAGTAAATGATCATGTCTTGAGGATTAAGTACAGGGAGGTTAGGGGCAGTAGAAGAAAAAAAACATTAAGACTTTCTGTCTATGATCGAATAGAAAAAAACCACAGAAATACTTATAAGTGATATTTGTAATTTTGGCCCTTGATGTCTGAGCGGTCTAGGATTTGGTTGTCATCTTTCTTTACACATTGATAAGGCCTACCAAAACTATGCTGGTAGGATTCAAGACTTGATTGTATTATCCCCCACAATTGAATGATTGATTAGTGATTGCTTTATACCACATCAGCACAATATGGCTATATCACAGCAATCCCACAAATTGAAAGGTTTTACTCAATATATTGTGATGTGACAAGGCCTAAATACTTAGCTAGACTTCAACTTTTTAAGCTTACAAGATTAGTATCCAGAGGAAGACACTTTATCTGGAGACATTATTCTGACTTTGTTCATTGTTGTTTTGTGCTTTGCAGAGAGATAAGTAATTACCAATTTTTTTGCTTGCAAACTAACAACCTGATATGAATAAAAGTAGATGTGGTTTATACACCTATGAGACAGCTTCACTGAATAATGTCTGCATGAGCAGGCTCCTTGAGACTATTGAGACTGTATAATGAAATTGTAAAGATAAATATAGAAAGGGCAGCCACATTTTATTGATTATTTGCCTGATTTAAGCCAGTTTGCTTTTGAAGTAGTTTTCAGAGGTTACCAGATTTTGGTGGTAGAAAATTACACTTTGGAAGGGGGCTATATTTAATTTTCAAATTTCTTGGGGACCTTTGACTTGTGATTCATGATTTGCCCTTGGTATTTGCTTAAAAAATGTGGTTGATGCAAAATAGTTTTGATCCATAAACCAGTAGTCACAGATAAGTTTTGATCTATAAACCAGTAGTCACAGATAAGTTTTGATCTATAAACCAGTAGTCACAGATAAGTTTTGATCTATAAACCAGTAGTCACAGATAAGTTTTGATCTATAAACCAGAAGTCACAGATAAGTTTTGATCTATAAACCAGAAGTCACAGATAAGTTTTGATCTATAAACCAGAAGTCACAGATAAGTTTTGATCTATAAACCAGAAGTCACAGATAAGTTTTGATCTATAAACCAGAAGTCACAGATAAGTTTTGATCTATAAACCAGAAGTCACAGATAAGTTTTGATCTATAAACCAGAAGTCACAGATAAGTTTTGATCTATAAACCAGAAGTCACAGATAAGTTTTGATCTATAAACCAGAAGTCACAGATAAGTTTTGATCTATAAACCAGAAGTCACAGATAAGTTTTGATCTATAAACCAGTAATCACAGATAAGTTTTGGAAGTTATAGAAAAGAAGAGGAAAAAGGAAAATATATATGAAAACTAAATATTTGTCCATCACATCATTAGCTCACCTGGCCTGAAGGGCCAAGTGACCTTTTCTCATCACTTGGCATCCGTCATCGTCGTTAACTTTTACAAAAATCTTCTCCTCTGAAACTACAGGGCCAAATTTAACCAAACTTGGCCACAATCATCATTTGGGTATCTAGTTTAAAATATGCATCCTATGACCCCGCTGGCCAACATAGATGGCCGACATGGCTAAAAATATAGCATAGGGTTAAAATGCAGTTTTATCTATTATTTTGAAAACTGTTATGAATAGAGAAAATCTGACTTTTATGAATAGAGAAAATCTGACAGGAGCAAAAATGTTCAGAATGTTGAGCTCTTCCAATTGTGCATATACTTCAAAACTGTCAGACAACTTTTTATAGGATTTATTGCCCTTAAATGACAAATTTTATCATTTTTTTTCATATTTGCCTATTATCTAGAAAAGTATAATAGATAGAGAGAAACTTTAAATTTCAAAAATGATCAGCAAGACAAGTTCTACAATTAAGCTTATATGGTCGATATCGTAAGTTGACTCCTTATTAGAGTTATTGCCCTTTGATGATGATTTTTACCAATTTTTTGTGTTTTTTGCCTTATATCTAAAAAATTGTAATAGATAGATAGAAACTTAAATCAGCAAAAATGATCAGCAAGACAATATCTATAATTAAGACAATAATGGTGGAAAATGTCCGACTTTTTTGCGTTTTGCCTTATATGATAAAAACTATAATAGATAAATAGACACTTTAAATTACAAAAATGATCAGCAAGGCAAGATCTACTAACAAGTCAAATTTTGCCGATATAGTTAGTAGACTGTCTTTCTTTATAGGAGTGATTGCCCTTAAATGAGGATTTTTTTTTATCCTCTTCTGTGTTTTGGGCAAAAACTAAAGAAGATAGAGAGAAACTAAACAGACTAAATGATCAGCATAAATACAAGATCAACAAAACAGAGATTTTTGTCATGAGTTCTATTCTCATCTACAATGTTGGAGATTGTCCTTTGTTGAATGTGCACATAGACCAAGGTGAGGGACACGGGCTCTGTAGAGCCTCTAGTTTTACTGTATTGATTAGAAAAATGAGAAACAGAAATAGTTTAATTTTGTCTGACAGCTAATTTATTTTAAAAATGAATACATTATTGATTTTATGTAGGTTCATGGTCTGTTAGTGTAATCTGTGTGGGAGTTAATTGTAACTTTACCATAAGTTACCTGGCCACTAAAATATTAAATATTGCATTTGTACAAGGGCGTGGTACAAGAAAATATTAAAAAGAAAAGGGTATTTTATAAAGACTGTATATTGATCACCAGAGGACTGAGGTATTTTGTGTTTGTATTGTTGGATTGTGTCCCATTGACAAACAAACTTCTTTATGTCTCTGGTTCAATTCACTATTTTAAGAAAAAAGGTATTTTCTCACTATGTTGAAGACCTGTTGGTGGCCTTCAGCTGTTTTCTGCTCTTTATGGTCGTTTTGTTGTCTCTTTGACACATTCCCCATTTCCATTCTCAATTTTATTCTAATGAATATGCATTATGAATCTAAAAGCTTGATTTATGAAAAACAAATGTTAAAGGTTACCATGGTTACTGGGATGACCAACATAGTATGTAATATAGCCTCAAAAAATTCGACCTAAGGAGATTTTATTTGGTAAAGAAGAAAAACCCCTAAAACGTTACATCAAAGTCAAATTGTAAGAATAAATAAGAAAGGATTGTATATATCTTACAGAAGTTTTTCTATTCCAAATATATATATTGAATGAATTAGCGCCATAGCCATAGGTATAATAACAGATTTAAGGACCTACACATTTTTTTTAAAAATCAGACTCTAATAAGGACATGTAGCATTTGAAGTATGAAGGACATTTCATACAGCTAGCTTAAGCATGTTTAGGTTATGAAGAAGAGATCTATATATTCCATGTTTCTGTAGAAATGACTGCTCTAATTACTTTTATATTGTAAGGTCCCATCAGATATGTGGGTCTCAATTGAAATCTATGTATATTTTGTGATATTTTGAAAACTAAATTGTTTTAAATAAAAATCCATATGTTCTGTATAAAATATTATGATTTTTTACCTCATTATAAAGCAATGAAATAACCATTTTCCCCTTTTGAAAACTTGAATGAAAACAAAAAAAGGGCAAAATTTAAAATATTTGAAAATGCTTTTCTAATAATGCAAATAGAAAAAATAGCCCAGAAACCCATTGCAGAGTAGCATAATTGTTTTTAAATTCTATGTTGAATATATACTATAGACTTGTTGAGTTTCTAGTTTGAATAATTGTTTAGAGGATATTTAAAGATTTTGAAGATAAAACGAAACATGAATGTACATTATTTTACAAATAATAGATTTTTCACCTCAGCAGATCCTTTAATAGTAAACAGTTGTTAGCCTGTGGTCACTACATAATCCTCAACAATGTAAGGCATGTTCATTTATTGACCCGTATACTAGTTAATATGCTGATCTGGCAAGTTCAAAAAGGTTACGGTAAAATTCAACTTACCGATTTTTGTTATGTCATTAAATTTATTTAAATCATTGAGTTCTTTTGATGATTTTATATTTGACCTTTAAACCTTTACCTTTGAATGCCTACATATTTGTCATGAAAAATTAATTTGTATGTTCAAAGATTTAATTAGATCTACTAAAACTGACATAATTAAGAAACAAGGGCTGCATGGTAATTAAATTCATACTTCAAAGATTATTACGTTTATGCATGTAGATATCTCCATAGAAAGAGAGTTGTTAGGGAATTTACAATTTAATATTATAGAGGATAAAAAAGTAAACATTTTTCATTATGTGATATATTACCCATTTACAGCGTGAATATCATAAACAGATTCAGTTTGTATTGTTACAAGTTTGTTAATAGGAGCATCTGTTTTTATTGCATAATTTTATAATTAGTTTTGTAAAGTACAAATTATAATCATATGAATTTTATAAACATGATAAACATAATAGAACAAAGAGATAAAAATTGATTTCATTTCCAGTTAAATGATAACATCTCCCATTTTATCATGAAATTATTGATAAACTGAAAAAAGATAATTTTAATTATATTGCTTGTGTCATAATATTGATATTTTTTTGGTTTTTATTTTTCTCATAAATTATAAAGTATATTTTTATACTAAAACTATATTCTAGACCTCTTTTGAAGCAAACAAATGTGTTTAGAATTTGTCAAAAGTTTTGGCTTCTGCTATTTGCAAAAAATACAAATGAATGCCAGTATTAGATGTATGAAGCATGCTCAGCAGATCAGTGCATTTCCAAAGCCAATTACACCATCCAATTAAAAGTATCAAATGAAAGAATCTTTATCTTTATATATGAGGTAACAGATTACTAATCATGATCTAATGAATTATGTTTATGGACACTAATCTTGTAAATGTACACACTAAACACGGTGATGAGCATTCTTTGATGAATCTTTGATGCTAGAGTGAAAGGTTGCTTTGAGACTAGGGGAGATTTAAATGTTGACATATTGTATAGCTGTGACGTTGAAGACTGTATCTTGCCCTCTTTGGTTATTTTTGTCTTTGGGTTGCTGTTTCATTGATGTATAGACAGTATAGCCCATACCTTATTTTACCGTGTTTATTCATATCAACAGTACAGTCAAATCTGCTTTAAAGGTCACCTCTGTTAAGCGAAAAACATGTGTTGTCAGGTCACTCTCTTCTTGTCTCACAGTAGTAATACATATGCATTTTGAACCTCAATTCATTGGTCCCCTCTCCTATAAAGTCAATTTTCTCTGGTCCTGAAGATGACCTTTATATACAGGTTGGACTACTTTTATGACCCTCTTAGTACACAATGTGCATATATTTTGCGAATTGTCATATTGATATCCCTGAATTATCATTTAAAGCATTGGATTTCTTATAGATCATTTAATGCACATGTAATATTTTTCACTGCAGGTTGCCCCACTTTCTAACAGGAAGAATTCCCAATTGTAATAATGACGTTAATTCGTTTTGTACAGTTACACTTAAAATTTTACAGATGTGCATTTTTTTCCTTGCAACAAGTTTATTATCTTTTAATTTTATGAAGAGAGTTGCTTGGTTGCAAATTCAAGGTACAATCACTGGAAGCAAGCTGGTTCACATGAGCAATAATTGATTACAACATCTAACAAATGATTAAGTTCAAGGTCAAAGTTCAAATAAGTTTTTATTGACTAGTATCAAGAAAATAAGTCAATACCTGTGTAAATTTTGTTTTATTGTTTTTTTAATTTTCTTTTTGCATAAGCATTACTGTTTGATATCCAATTTAGAGCTTTTAAAAGTAGCTTTATAGGTGGTAGCTTTTCACCTGTTACTCTACCAAAAGTAGGCAGTAGGTGGAAGCTTTTCACCTTTTACTCTACCCAAAAGTAGGCAGTAGGTGGAAGCTTTTCACCTTTTACTCTACCCAAAAGTAGGCAGTAGGTGGAAGCTTTTCACCTTTTACTCTACCCAAAAGTAGGCTGTAGGTGGAAGCTTTTCACCTTTTACTCTACCCAAAAGTAGGCAGTAGGTGGAAGCTTTAACCCCAAAAGCTGCTTGATATGAATTTTCGATTATCTATGGTATTCAAACGAGAGGGTGTTTCTCAGCTGCAATCTCATTAAAGGGCAACATCCTCAAGTTTGAAAGTCTATTGATAGATATAAGAAGATGTGGTATGAGTACCAATGAGACAACTCTCCATCCAAACAAGAGGATGTTTCTCAGCTGCAATCTTATTAAAGGGCGACATCCTCAAGTTTGAAAGTCCATTGATAGTCTGTTTATAGCTAGCCTCAATGACGTGTTTCTCAGCTGCAATCTCATTAAAGGGCGACATCTTCGAGTTTGAAAGCCTATTGATAGTCTGTTTATTGCTAGCTTCAATGACGTGTTTCTCAGCTGCAATCTCATTAATGGGCAACATCCTCAAGTTTGAAAGTCCATTGATAGTCTGTTTATCGCTAGCTTCAATGAAATGTTTCTCAGCTGCAATTTCATTAAAGGGCGACATCCTCAAGTTTGAAAGTCCATTGATAGTCTGTTTATCGCTATCTTCAATGACGTGTTTCTCAGCTGCAATTTCATTAAAGGGCGACATCCTCAAGTTTGAAAGTCCATTGATAGTCTGTTTATCGCTATCTTCAATGACGTGTTTCTCAGCTGCAATCTCATTAAAGGGCAACATCCTTGAGTTTTAAAGTCCATTGATAGTCTGTTTATCACTTAGTAGCTTCAATGACGTGTTTCTCAGCTGCAATCTTATTAAAGGACAACATCCTCAAGTTTGAAAGTCCTTTGATGATCTGTTTATCACTAGCTTCAATGATGTGATTCTCAGCTGCAATCTCATTAAAGGGCGACATCCTCGAGTTTGAAAGTCCATTGATAGTCTGTTTATCGCTAGCTTCAATGATGTGTTTCTCAGCTGCAATCTCATTAAAGGGCAACATCCTCAAGTTTGAAAGTCCATTGATAGTCTGTTTATCGCTAGCTTCAATGACGTGTTTCTCAGCTGCAATCTCATTAAAGGACAACATCCTCGAGTTTGAAAGTCCATTGATAGTCTGTTTACCGCTAGCTTCAATAACGTGTTTCTCAGCTGCAATCTCATCAAAGGGTGACATCCTTGAGTTTGAAAGTCCATTGATAGTCTGTTTACCGCTAGCTTTAATGACGTAGGCTCATGACCTCAAACATTCTTTTTCTACTCCACTGAGAAAAGCTCATATCACTCATGTAGCATGATATGAAAAATTATCACAAAAAAAAAGATCACTGCAAAATTGTAGAAAAATGTGATCATTTTTTTTTTATTGATGATTAGTAGGGCTCAAAGTCTTGCCTTAAAAACATTGAAAGCTTCCAAATTTTGTTTTTGTGGGGGAGGGGGGGGGGGGATGTTAAATGTAAGCAACTATAGGTCACCATATGGCCTTCAACAATAAGCAAAACCCATACCGTTAGTCATCTAGCAATATAGTTCTTTCCCATTAAGATATCAAGAACAGTCTTTTAGTAGTTTATCATATCAAATAAATGACGGGTGTTTTGTTAATTTCAGATCATAGACCAAGTATGGCCATTCATCGGAGATTATGTACGTGATTTGTTGATGACCTCAATACAAGAGAAGATTCAGACCAGCCATGCTCAGGCTGCTTCATTCAAATTTCTTAAAATAGATCTAGGTGATATTGTAAGTAATTATAAAAAAATGTCAACATATCAAGTAGGAATTAAAATAGAGATTGTAGGTACATGTCTGTGTTAATAAGAGATTGTAGGTACGTGTCTGTGTTAATGAGAGATTGTAGGTACATGTCTGTGTTAATAAGAGATTGTAGGTACATGTCTGTGTTAATGAGATCACAAAGGTTTTCCTTAAAATAGAATAAATCCAGTCTGATTAAAACACAGACCATGTGTCCATGATTTGCTTTCTATCTTCTGTTTTTACAATAAACACCTTTAAAAATTTGGAGGCAGAAATTTAAAAGTAGGACGTAGTTTTGTCAGATCGTTGTAACGTGAGGGGTGGACACGGGATCTGTATTTTCATCAGATTGTGGGTATATCATAAAACCCAAAAGACATCTAAATGTAGACTTCTTAAGATCTCTGAATACTGCAGCCTTCACGATAAACTTTTGAGTCCACAAGCCTGAAGCTCAGTTTTTTGAAAATTTTAGTTGGATTCTGTTGGCTTGTAGAGAAGAATTTTACAAGCCAGAAAGCAATTTTACAAGCCAAAGCCATAGGACTTGTGGTTAAGTGTGAAGACTGGAATAGCATGATTTTGCTGTTACCTTATTTTAAGTTAAGCTGGATAAAAAGACCACAGAATTAGTTCTGAAAATGATAAAATGATTATTTTGAAAGGACATATATAAACAAGTTCAACTAGATTTTATTTCTAACCAAAATCATCCAAGTTATGTATGAGTAATAAAATCTATAAAGTTTGACATAACAGTAAATTGATATAACAGATTTGCTTCTTCTTTGATTAATTGAAAAACAAATACAGCAGTGAATTATATTCTTGAAAGCCATATTACAAGTCAGAGTCTAAGCTTGTTTCAAAAAATTATATACTCATGAAAATAGACTAGAATACCACAATGAAATAATTCAGACTTTTACATGAACATGAATGATATAATATAGTATGTAGTGTCTACTCCTTTTTATTTTTACAGCCTCCTAGAATTGGTTCAATAAAGGTTAACACCAAAAATGTGAGGAGAGATGAAATATACATGGATTTGGATCTTATGTAAGATTATTTTTTAAAACTGCATGATCAAGTTTTTTGTAAAAAAATATGTATCTTCTAAGGTTTAGTTTAAAAGCTAAAAACAGTTGTATTTAGAAATTCAAACACAAGAAATACTGCTAGTCTGACTTCATCTCAATTGTTTGATAAATATCATTGAAGTTGCAGTTATCATTTATGTGCAAGAGCAATTATGAATGTTTGTAAAGTAATATGAAAAAAAGGGAAATGTAATTCCTCACAAATCTTATTTGCATACATGTAGTGTTTCCTGCAGCTTTTAAAAAGGGCAGGGTAATTGTTTACTCAGAGGGCACATTAAGCGCGATGGACAACAACTTTAGGGCACCCTTTTTAGTGATAAACACGCAATTTCTATAAAATGGATTCATTTAAAACATACTAGTTTAATGCTATAAAAAGGACATATATACATCTGTAATCAATCAATAAAACAAGTTGTTAAACAAGAAAAAGTGTTTCAAAACATATATGAAATATTTAAAACATTTAACACAATTAAAAACAAAACCAGATCTTTAAAAATGTTTAAAAACAAGAAACAACTATGTCATATATAATAATATTGCTTTGGTCATATTAATTGTCATTGACAAATCCTCCTTTTTTTACCTAAATACAGTTTGACACATTCCCTGATATCCAAATCATCTATGGATTTGGTATTTGCTGATACTACAACAAGATTGTTTACAGTTGACACATTAAGTCTATTTCTGCGTTGTGAAACTGTCAGTTAAAATATACGTTCCACTGTTGCAGTTGAAATAATCAAGGTTTCACAAATTGACAGTAAAAAGTTTATGTTAGGAAAAGGTGACTTTTTTTGACAATGTTGAAAGCATATATCTTGCAGAGCATTTTTCTCTTTCTTCTTTAAAAATTTGTTTAATTTCATTCCATTCTAATAATGTTTGCTCTTCATTCAGTTTGAAATGTTCATCTGAAAAACTTGTCTGAATCCCCATAATATGAAATTGACTCTTCAGAACTAAAGCTTAAATTCAAAGCAGACAAGTGTGTAAAAATCTCTGGATTACATATGTATTATATTGGGATTTTTCATAAATTGTTTGAGACACAGATTGAATATTCTGATTTTATAACTTTCTCGACTAGACAGGTGATGATAGGACACCCCTTTTCACTACAGATATTTTCAAATGAGCTTAACAATGTATTCAACATTTGTCAGATCATTTTTCAGATCACATTCCCACCCTAATAAATATTAATGTTGTAATGTGATAGGAATTTACATTTATTAATTTTACTATGTATAACAATTTTTATGTCCCGCCGCAGCAGAGGGTGCATTAAGTGTTACCCTTGTCCATCTGTTCGTCTGTACGTCCCAAAAATGGTTTCTGTTGTCAAACTTTAGTTTGCTTCAACCAAATGTTATGAAACTTATACACGATGCTTATTACCACAAAATACAGATCAATTTCAAATTTGGGTTGCATCACTTTTAATGTTCTTGAGTTACTTCCCTTTATAACGTTATATGCAAACGGGGGCATCATCTTTGTCCCATGGACACATTCTCCATTTATTTTTCTAATCATCTGATGTTTGTATTGACAGGTATGGCAGTGATGCAGATATTGAGATGAGAATTAAAGGCATGACCATGGGTATCAAAGATTTACATGTAAATATTTTATATTGTCAGAGTTAACTTGGTCCCAGCAGAAAGAAAGAGAAATATAATGATAAATTTTGTTAAACTTGATATTTAGAAACTACTTGTAGTAAAATAAAGTATATTAGTTACAACTATCTTTATTAGCTTTCAGAATATGCTCATTTCAGGAATGGTATTTCCTTGATCTAATAGTTTCTTGTAAGCATTTATACTGTGAATTTTCTTGTGCCCTTTATTTTTGCTTGTACTTAAGGTATTATCTTTAGGTATGTATATCTTACAATTGTACATTTTTGATTATCTGGTACACATTCTAGATTCTGTATCTTCAGAAACAGCCTTGTGGTAGTGTGCCCAGCTCAAATGTGGGAGGTTTTGGGCACAATCCTGAGCCAGGTCAAACTTAGTACTTGAAAATTGGTATTTGCTTCCTCTCTGCCTAGAACTAACATTTAGTTGTCAGAGGAAAAACTGGGCGGCTAGGGGTCAGATTAAAGCATTGGTGTTGGGTGATATTGTGTTTCTGTGGACTGTTTCCTTTTGCACATAAAAAATCCAGATCAGCTTGTCAATCTAGTACAAAGCAGGGTTTATATTCCTATCACAAAAACATATTCTTGCCTTGAATATGCATTTGATAAACCATTGGACGTTAAACAGCCATTCAACATAATCTAGTTCTATGTATACATTTATTTCTATATTTTTCAGGTACGTGGAGAATTGAGAGTTATTATGAGACCATTGATTAGTAAGATGCCTTTGTTTGGTGGTATAAGTGTATTCTTTCTCAATAATCCAGTAAGTTAACATGGTTAAATTTCATATTATATATTTCTGATATTCAAGTTCTTATAAATCAGATAATGGAAAAGAAAGGATATTTATCAGTCGGAAAGCAAGCCCTTAGAAACGACCGTTGTTGCTACTTTCTTAAGACAACAATGGGACTGATATTAAAGCCCGCCATTCTGAAATTGCGTTAATTTCGCGGAAAAAATAATTTGGCGGCAATTTGGAAAATTTTCTATTTTCTGTTTCTTACTTGCCATTAGGGTCAGAAATAGATTGCTTTCTATCTTTTAAGCATGTGTCTTATTATTAAAGAAAATAATACCTAAATTGGCCGTCTTTTAACAATTACGTTAATAGATTATGCGAAATTGTCTGTTATTTTTTCTTCTTTTTTTTTTCACAGATAAACAAAGATTATACTATAAAACAAATTAATAATATGTATCTCAAAGTTAAAAAAAAAATTCAAGTCTAACGTTCTGTCACCCCTTAGGAAATCCCGTTTGAACTAAATTCCAAAAGAAAGACATTTTTTGACATTGTAGTTTTTTTGGTCTTACACATGATGTCAACATGCATCTGAACATAATGTACACACATTTAGTGTGTTTGTTTGAAAAAGCAATGGCGAGTTCAGCTGTGAATTTGACTGGATTAATTATTCTCTTTAAGTGAAATGTTTGACGTTAACTAAAACAATAAGGTAAGGAAGTTTTATACTGTCTGTGCACAACCTTAAGGTGACTGAAAAAAACTCATTCATTGTTAGTATCATTTTTTGTTTGTTATGAAGGAATCCTGCAAAGTAAATGCAAAAGTCTTGTCCTTTAAACTTAAAACAATCTCTTTCAGACTTGTAATTAATCACTCTTATTCAACGCATTTTCATACTTACATGAAGTGTGACTTACATATGACTTGTGATCTAAAACATAATTGTTGACTTAGCACTCAGAAACTGCTCTGAAATACTTTTAATATGCAAAGTTATTTATTTTTTTAAATAGAAGATGAAAAATATGAGACCAAGCTTATTTATTCGCAAGTTCATGATTTAGCTATAAACCATTTAAATAATTATCCATTGGTTTAGGCTTTTTTTTTATAATTTGAGTCCATTCATTAGAACTTGCATGGAATCAGTGAGACAAAATGTATTGTTATATTTAGTTTAATCATACAAGGATTGCAAACCAATTTCCTTTTATTTCAAATAATGAAGAATTTACATTGTGAATACTGTGATTATTTTTTCTTTTAAAAGTAACTTAAATGAAAAAGGTAGGATCAGGTATCAATATTGAAACAGAATTCCTGTTTGTGATCATTTTAACCCTGTCTAGGTCAAGTATTCATGCATATTTTGGCTACCGCTTGTCTTTGTGTAGTAGAAATTTATTTCTGTGTTGATATAATTTGGTTACAGCAGTAAAAATATTTACCAAAACATAAATATTAAAGTTACCCTTGGAATAATATATTATGGCACAGAGTAATATCAAAGCCCTATTTCAGTTTTGAAATTGTTGTAAAAGTGATAAATATGTTTACCTAATTGTTTTACATATGTCTTTAGTATCAAAATATATTTAGAAAAATTATTTTAATAATATCCACTTGTATATGACAGCATATGGTGCTTAATATAATAATAATATATATGATAGTACCAATAAGATTGTTCATGAAAAGTGTCAACAAAGGGAAGTAACTCGTAAATTACTATCGGCACCGCTTCGTCAGAAATATTGACACATTGAAGTGGCACATTTGCGTATTACAGCGTATTAAGTGGCACAAATTTGACACGGGCCAGTTTATAAAAAGCCTCATCACATATTTTAAATTCAGCATAGGTTCCCCAGAAGTTAAGAAAGAAATTTCAACTGATGTGTTGAAAAAACTTGACGCGACGAGTGACGACCTTTGGTTTGAAGGCTTTGTATTTTAATTCAGTACGTTTAATCAAAACAATTTTTATTTGAGAACTTCTAAAAAGTATACACAATTGGCCTTTGTAATGTACAGCATGCTTTGATTTCATTTTATATGACTTTTTGGAGGAAACAGAGTCGTTTCAGTTGAGGAAAAAATGACTTAAAAAATGCCCAAATATGGTAGTCACATGACTTCCATTGTTGCTTTAAGAAATGGAGTCAAACCGGGGTCAGCTTTCCGATTGTTATGAAAAAACTAATCAAGTATTCAAATATTGAAAAAGAGAGGCGAAAGATACCAAAGTGACTTTATGATGTTGTTGTTAGTTGAAAGTATTTAACAGATGACAGAACAACACATTAATTTGCAAATTAGTTATCAGTGTTGGTAGGGTAGAAAAGTAGAAAAATGCAAGGAACAATATATTTTTCTGCCTTTTACATTTTGTTAAGATGCAATGTCTTGACAATAACTATTGCTGAATGATGTTAGAGGAGTGAAATTACAGATTGTGAAATATTTGCTTTTATTTTACTGGAAATCAAGATATTTTGTTGCAACCAATCTAATAAGGTGTATTATATCATGACAAAACATCACTACACACACTTGACAAAACTAACAAAAATGTCATTAACATTTACCAAGTTGAATTATTATATTCCGCTTAGATACACCAACAGAACTACTTCAAATAAAAGTAATTTCTTTTTATTTCTCTCCGGAAGCATTTAAAAACATAAACAGCTAACCCTAGAAAAAATATCTATAAAGAAGACAAAGATAAATTTTTGATTGAATTCTCAAATAATGTTAATAGTGGATATAGAATTGTGTTGTTTTAAGTTTTTATAAGACTAAGTTGAAGAGTAGAACATTTTAAATTCATGCTCTTTTACCATTTGCCTGATAAAATATGAACAGTTTTCTTGCCTGAAGCTGGAAAAGGGCAAAAGGAATCAGTTTATTGTAAATATCATTCTCTACATTACAGGATATAGACTTCAACTTAACTGGTATGGCTAATGCCATTGACATGCCAGGATTAAGGTCAGTATATTGTTTCCTGAACTGTTAGCCAATAATATATATTTGTATATACAGAAATATGCCGTAAATATCAAGATAAACAACTTAACCAATAAAGTGTGTTGCAAAAAAAGTAGTTATCAGTTTGTGCTGACTAGTTGCATGAAATCATTTTTATATAAAACAGGAATGACTGCCCAACTGATTTTTCATCAGAAATGACTAAAGCCGAAATATTATTTTTAATTAATTTTAGACATAGTTTAGAGGCTTTTATACAAGTTAATCGATTATTGATCATGCAGCTAATTGTTTGGATTTTTATTCAGATTTTTTTGAATTGATTATAACTATTGAAAGAGTGACTTGCACTAGCATTGACTAGAGGCCACATAATATTAACTATTTTATTCATGTAGCGATATGGTAGACACTATCATACAAGAACAGATTGGTGCTCTGATGGTATTACCAAACAGGATTGATGTTCCAATGGTTCAAGATCTTGCTAGTTTGGCAAGGCTTAAATATCCACTTCCTGATGTAAGTTCAACAAAAATAGAACTGTGTTGATATATTATTATTCCCATGATACAAATTTTTCCCGCAATACAAATTTAGAAAAAAAATTGTTTAAAATAATGAACAAATTTTAAATGTTCACTCAAGTACAAAGCTTGAATGCAAACTTTGGTAAAACCAAAAAATGAAATATACACAAATCTTTTACCTACAAAAATTATAAATGAATCTACACAATGAGCTATGGAGAACATAAAAGAAAAGACTGTTAGAACTGTAAGCTTTTGGGTACTGTGCACACTTATCTACATCAAAAGTCAACTTGAAAGAGTTTTAAAGCACACTACACAGTAAATCCAATCATTCACAGAATTTGAAACATAATTTCTAAAGATGGAAGATTCTATGAAAACTGTGTTAAAGAAAACATGAAATCAAGTATGAAAGAAAATACAATTTTTCCTGTCCATGGACATTTTTACCCATGAAATTAATGAATCCATGGTAATTATTTTTATTTAAGGGTGTACTGAGAATCAATGTAGTTGGAGCTAAAGAACTTATTAAAGCAGATGTTGGATTACTGAAGAAGGGTCTCTCTGATCCTTATGTTGTTGTCAGAAGTAGGTTTATGAAAGTACATTTTAGGAATAATATTTAATAAGCTCTTTTAGGGTATACATACCTGACAAAATGTGAAAAAGAAACTCAATTTAATTAAAATTTATAAAATACATTTGCGTACAATGCCCTTTGGCATTTATGTTGTAAAACTGACATATACTGTTATTGACATGGCAACCAGGAAAAATTAGATCGCTTTAACTTTTAGAAATTACTAAAAGTATGCATAAATTTTCGCAGAATTAATATTGGCGATTTCCAATTATCCACCAAAAAAAGCGAAAATAACCCACTATACCGTATATGAAGAAGTTAAAAATCGTTTATTTGATCAAAACTTTTCATATTATGTATCAATGACGTTGCAAACATCTCATTGATAAATTAACATGGATGGACATGAAAAGCAGGATGTTACGTCACTGAGTATTATGTCATGTTACGTCATTGAGTATTATGTCCTGTCTGCGAGTATTATGTCCTGTCTGCTATCTATAAATAGTAATAAGCAATAGGATGAACAAGACAATGTAGAAATTGTAGATAATTTGATATCAGTCTTTATTTGTGTTGTCCTCACAAACAAAATTCACATATTGCTAAAAGGTGTAATACCACCATTGATTTTCCCCTATTAGTCTTTGTTAAATTTGCACTTTTCAAAAAATTGTGCAGAATTTATCTTTGTTTCAAATAAAGAAATACTTGGCATGAGTAAAGTTTGATCCTGTCCAGTACTATAGAAAAAATTTCACATAACATTTCATTGCATATAAGAAAATAACCATCACTGGAAGTTAACCAATCAAATTTTCCCCCTTTTTTAACCTGTATACAAGCTTTAGTAACCATGTAACCTCAAGTTTCCAAAATATTCTATAGAAACCCCAAATAAAAAAATAATGGTGCTTTGAAATACCCAAGATATATGTTTATGACCCAGAAATGTTTTACTGCAATGAAATGTAGGATCAATTACCTACAACTGTCAAATTCAAGGGAATATTTTTTTTCGACCTATTTTCGTATGCAACCGGATGTGACGTACTATGATTTGGTGGTATTACACCTAAAGAAGACTTTTTTGTTAAATAAACTGAATGTGACTTTTTTCCTTTGTTATACTGGTTATTTCAAGCATTCCTGTCAAGTTTAGTCATAATCAGTTCAATAGTTTGAGAAAAATCTAGTATAATGTAAGACGACATCTGCAGCGATTCGAGCTAAATTTCTTCGAAAAATCCAAACCAAGCCGCATCATGATAGAATATAGTGTGGACCAATAAATGATCAAATATTTATCTCATCTGCCTACAAATAGTTGAATATGATACAAAAGATGACTTTAGGATGATAAATACTACCAATGGACCTCTTTGTCTTCCTTATAAGGTCTCTTTTGGTCCATTTATACCTCTCATTTCCTCAAAATTTCTACTTTATAGGCCAATAAATAAAAATTTTGGGGTAACTTTCACTCATTTATGATAGAAATGTTATAATAAATGATTAATTGAAGTATTCAAGCTGAATGAACTATCCGTAAAAAAGTTTACTGTCTCCAAGGAGGTTTCAATAAGTCCTTACGTAAAACTTAAATTTACGCCGCGTTCCAGAGAGGGACATAAAAAGCTTCTCTTTTGGTGAATAATTTGTTGTTACTGCTTTAAAAATAATTTCATTTACTTAAAACTATATATTTATTAAAGTATTTCTTAGGAAAAAATTTCTAGTATAGCAGAATATAAGAAAAAAGGAGAAAAAGCTCCCCAAAACTCTAAGTATGGCTTATTCTGTCAACTAATATTCATGGTAAAGTCCTATTTCAAGGAAATTTTCTCATAAAATGTGTTTTGGAGACTCAATCCACTCAGAATATTTCATTATTAGTAATATTTCACTTAAATAGCAAGAAATTTTAACACATGAGAGTACTCACAAGGTCAAAGGTGCATGTACAGCTTCCTATATTAGGTGTAATACCACCATTGATTTTCCCCTATTAGTCTTTGTTAAATTTGCACTTTTCAAAAAATTGTGCAGAATTTATCTTTGTTTCAAATAAAGAAATACTTGGCATGAGTAAAGTTTGATCCTGTCCAGTACTATAGAAAAAATTTCACATAACATTTCATTGCATATAAGAAAATAACCATCACTGGAAGTTAACCAATCAAATTTTCCCCCTTTTTTAACCTGTATACAAGCTTTAGTAACCATGTAACCTCAAGTTTCCAAAATATTCTATAGAAACCCCAAATAAAAAAATAATGGTGCTTTGAAATACCCAAGATATATGTTTATGACCCAGAAATGTTTTACTGCAATGAAATGTAGGATCAATTACCTACAACTGTCAAATTCAAGGGAATATTTTTTTTCGACCTATTTTCGTATGCAACCGGATGTGACGTACTATGATTTGGTGGTATTACACCAAAAGGAAATGATGTTTCAAAATGATTATGCAAAAAGTTTTGCAATATATAAGTTTTGCTCCAGCTGGTTGTAAATTCAAATGTCCATGAAAAGAAAACTTTCCAGAGTCCATGTATGCTACCTTTAGTAGAAGAAACAATCCAATTTTAATGTAATCTTATAAATTTCATTTTGATTTTGATTTGTTACAGTGGGTGCTTACAAGTTCAAAACTCCAGTCATTAATAACACAATTGAGCCAACATGGAACAGCATATTTGAGGTAATTCTGATTATGAAAATTGAACCATCTTTTATGCATAATCCTAGCTATTTATAAGACTAACTTGCAGTTTGTATTTCCTAAATAAACTCATCATAGATACCAGGATTGAAATTTTGTATTTACGCCAGATGCGTGTTTCGTCTACAAAAGACTCATCAGTGATGCTCGAATCAAAAAAAGTTAAAAAGGCCAAATAAAGTATGAAGTTGAAGAGCATTGAGGACCAAAAATTCCTAAAAGTTTTGAAAAATACAGCTAAGGTAATCTATTCCTGAGGTAGTTCATAAAAGACTGGTCTGACTATTTATAGAAAAGTATTCAGATCACTAACCGAAAGTAAAAGTCTATAAGTTCCTGGAATTGTGACTTAAACCCCTTTTGCATACTGTAAACAAACTTATTAGTCCCCTACCCACGAAGTCGAAGGGGACTTTAGGTTTGCACTCTGTCCGTCTGCCTGTCTGTCTGTCAGTCTGTCCATCCGTCAGTCCGGCAAATCAGTTTTCCACACTTTTTTTCTTAGTTCTTGAAGATATTGATTTGATATTTGGTATATAGTTTTGCCATGAAAAATTATAGATTAAGTTCGAATTTTGTTCCGGTCTGATCATTTAGTCAAGAGTTATTGACCATAACTCTGAACCATATCTTATGTTAGAGTACTATGTTAAACCATATTTCTGTACAAAGGGAGATAACTCATTTTTTAAAAGACATTCTTTGGTAAATTAATTGAAGAATTTTTTGGCAGGTTTGTTTGTTATTTTAATACTCTCAGAATGCTTGTTTTCTTGATTATTTATTTTTTAGTTTAGTCCTTTCTAGCATAAGCCATGGCAATTTATTTTTTTTGATTTTCTATCTTTGTTTTTTCATTCATATCAAGAGAGAAAATCCTTGTGTGACATATACATATATGATATGAATTCATGCTATTTCTTATTCTTGCAATAAAATTGGTCTTTAAAGTTAGTTGGTTTACAGAATGTTAGCAAATATGGTATTGAAATTAAGCTAAAGTAGACAGAGAATGCAAAGAATTTCAATGTGATTTAATAGTATTGAATATATTAAAACGCTCTTTTTGAATTCTGATTGCATTAATATATGAATGCAGCATTGCTAAAAATACAATTGCTTAATCTTTTTGGTTATTCCATTAGTCAGCAGTAGCAACCATAAATGTAAGCAATTATGTCTGACTTTGAAGTTTGTTATTGTAAAAGGGTAAATGGGAACAGCATAAATATTGATTTATGCTCCCAAAGTATAAAACCAAACAACAAGTCTCAGTTCTTTTTTTTAATGAAAAATTATTGTAAGCCTATTAGGGCTGTTCCATAAAAACATACATGGGACCCAGGGAAGACACTTCAAAATCGCAACTATGGGTGGGTGTCATCTATGTTTTTGCACAGTGGAAATGTAAGTGAAATTTTAATTTGCCTCTATAGGTGGTTACCCCATTTTTAAAGTGCCTTCCCTGGGTACCATGTATGTTTAAATGGAACAGCCCTTATCATGATTATTGTGTTTTATAGACAATTATTGATGCCAAAGATGGACAGATGTTGGATATTGAAGTTCGTGATGAAGATCCCGGAAGTAAAGACGATTCCCTTGGAACGTAAGTAATCTCAATTGATGAAGATCCTGGAAGTAAAGAGGATTCCCTTGGAACGTAAGTAATCTCAATTGATGAAGATCCTGGAAGTAAAGAGGATTCCCTTGGAACGTAAGTAATCTCAATTGATGAAGATCCCGGAAGTAAAGACGATTCCCTTGGAACGTAAGTAATCTCAATTGATGAAGATCCCGGAAGTAAAGACGATTCCCTTGGAACGTAAGTAATCTCAATTAATTTTGCAACTTTCAAATTTACTTGATGTATTTAAATAAGGGAAGATCCAAGTTTACATAATGTATTTAAATAAGGGAAGATCCAAGTTTACTTATTCTAGACGATTTGTATTTAGAGTCGCAAAAACAAAGAGCTTGGGAAATTTATTTGGTTTACAGTAGTTTGCTCCTGTCAGGTAAGATCTGATATGAACATTTCAGTGTTATATATGCTTCACTTGAGTATATTGTTACAATGAATAGCTCAGTATAGTTAAATGTGCTGTGTTCAACTCTGTCCTGAATAAATAAAACAAAATTTACAAATTAATGGTATTTTTTTTCCATCATATGTACTTGACAGAATGTTGTATAATAGTAAAAAAAAAACATATACACTTTTAGTTTTACTTGTATGATTGTTTTAACACTTATCAAAAGTAATTTTGTTTCATTATTCAGAAATGAAATTATAGGTTTTGATAGCCATATTGTGATCTTCAGTTGCTTAAATCCTCAACATTTGGACTCTGTTGGATAGTTGTCTCATTTTTTTTTTTTAAATTGTACATTCAGAAATTAATGTGTGCATTTATTATTGCGAAACTTTCACTATAGGCAAAAATGTGAAATCTAGTTTATAGGATTGCAAAAGCTTTATGAATGAAGATCCCACTGAAATTATTAATATATGCTTTAATTATTGTGAACCTAATACCATCACATTTTTTGCATTTATAATAACATCACTATAATTTCTAAATTTACAGTAATTTACAGTATAGAATTAACAAAAATTTAAATTTAATTAGGATTTAGGATTCCAATCTGTATCATATGAATGTTATCTTGGTAATGAACAACTTAGATATAAGAAGATGTGGTATGAGTGCCAATGAGACAACTCTCCATCCAAGTCACAATTTGTAAAAGTAAACCATTATAGGTCAAAGTACGGTCTTCAACACGGAGCCTTGGCTCACACCGAACAGCAAGCTATAAAGGGCCCAAAACCTTTTATTAACAAGCTCACACCGAACTTTTCCATTTATACCATTTATTTATTACAGAACAAGTTTACCAATTGTAACTGCAGCAGAAAAGGGTTCAGAGGACACAGTGAGTATTTGTTATAAAGTTTTACAGCTGAACTTCTTGTGTGTGAAGTTCATACATAAAATTTATGTTAACTTCTTTATTCAGAACAATAATTTCTTTATTAGCTCTTTTAAATATGATAAACTCATCGAACAGGTTTTTCAGTCATTCTTTTGTTACCTGTCCCGTGGTTTTATTGGCTAGCAATAATTATTTACTTTTCAGTATGCTGTAAACATAGGTAAAACTTATTTGATGGTTCACCTTTAACTTCTTTGTTTTTATGCCCAACCTTCGATAGTAGAGGGCATTATGTTTTTCGGTCTGTGTGTCTGTTCGTTCGTCCATCTGTTAGTCCGTCCGTTCGTCAGTCTGTCCCACTTTAGGTTAAAGTTTTTGGTCATGGTAGTTTTTGATAAAGTTGAAGTCCAATCAACTTGAAACTTAGTACACATGTTCCCTATGATATGATCTTTCTTATTTTAATGCCAAATTAGAGTTTTGACCCCAAATTCACAGTCCACTGAACATAGAAAATGATAGTGCGAGTGGGGCGCCCATGTACTATGGACACATTCTTATTTGTATACACTCAAGTATAGGTTCTGTAACATTAGAATTACATCTTTTTACATTTGTTTGAATCTATACCTTGAATTTATATGAATTATTTGAAATAAAAGACATTTTTCTCCATGAAAATCATTCTCTCTTGAGACTATTTACAATAGATTTAACCTTTCTCCATGATAAAAGTTATGACAACTATTGAAATTAAGTTTAATTTGAGACTCTATACGAGTGTAGCAGGTTAATGAGGAAAAAATGATCACGAAAAACAATATGGAAAGTCCTTTATGTAAAGAATTAGAGTGACATTAAAACAATGGAATTGATTTGAGTTGGTTTTCAATTTACCTTATAAAAAGAAGATGTGGAATAATTTCCAATGAGACAACTCTCCACTAGAGACCAAATGACTTAGAAATTAACAATTATAGGTCGCCTAAGGCCTCCAACAATGAGCAAAGCCCATACCACATGGTAAACTATAAAAGGCCCCGAAAGGACAAATGTAAAATAATTTAAACGAGAAAACTAACAACCTGAATTACATATTTAACTTGTATGGTTCATAATTTCAGTGGCTACCATTAGAAGATGTTAAAACCGGTCGCATCAATTTGAAACTAGAATGGAAGTACCTGTCAAAGAATGCTCTCATCTTAGAGAAGGTATGAATCCTATTTTATTATTTTGTGGATTAAGTTTTATGTACTCAAGATTACTAAAATATTTTTTTATACAGAAACTGTACATCGACAAATAGAATATTTTTTTTAGGTTTTCAGTATCTAAATGTTGCCTCACGAAATATAAAAGATATATCTTTTTTAATTTGTAAAACTTTATAACATTTTAATTTTTTGTTGGTGCTGAATTTTAATAAGAAAAACCAATGTTGCAGTTTTTATTATGCAAGGCAGAAACAAACTTTAAAATGAGAAACTATCAACTTTACTTTATAACCTCAAAAATATTAAAAAATCTTATTCATTTTTAAAAAGATAAATTGGTTCAAAAGACTTTCTTACATGCTCAGAAATGGTGTTGCTAGGAAATGAAACACTTTCCTCAGAAAATTGTATCTTGCACCAATAGAAATCTATTGAGTAAAAGTTTTATTTACCCAATCAACAGTCTGATCATACCCATGACTTCAAGAATATAGTAACAGTCTTTTTTCTTAAACTTAATGTCCTTCAGCCTGTACAAATATAGAATAACATGTTGCTGTCTATTACATGTAAAATCTTTGAAAAGTTTTAAAGAATCACTTAATAAAGATGGACAATTCAGATATCAATTGAGTTATCTGTATGTACAGAATTATGTTTGTTTTGAAGGTAGAGACGAAAATTATTATAAGAATTTGTTAGGAGATTGATTTCTGACAAGACTTTCTGAAACTGTCATGTGTTTACTTATCAGAGATGTCTAAATTATGTTACTATTTTAAATATGCTTTTTATGTATCACAACAAGGATAATAGAATTTCAGTCAACAAGATCAACAACAAAATGTTCTGTTATTGATATTAACCTGCATGACTTGGAGAATGTATTTATTTTTTTCTTCAGCTTGAAGAAAATAAGAAAACTACAAATTAAATTATCAATATTGTAAAATTATCTCACGAAAATATTATTTTCAAATATTAATTGAAAACTGGTTATTTATATCACTGCAGCAGCATAGGATAAAGTATGATGGAATGAGAAATGTTGTTATGATTTGATTATTTTTATTTGTGGTCAGGATTGTGGTTGATACCATTTATGTTAGTTGTGAGTTTTTTACATAGATCTTGACCGTTTGTATATCATCTGAATTAAGTATACAGAATGCATTTAAAATTAAGCTGCGTGCTAAAAGATACTCGAAGTTTCTGTCCAATTCAAAGCATGTTGAAATCTTGTTATAGATATTCAAAGCATGGGCTGCTGTTTTCAATTTAGATAAAATATTTGTTTCTTATTTTTGTGCAATGTTTTGTCGTCACTTAGATATTTGTATAATTATTTTATTCTACCATACCCATCACTGCATGTTGATATTGTAACTCTCTTTTTCTTTTTTTTCGATTTTTCCCCGTGTTATCTGATATTTTTGGTAAGTTGACACGTTTTGTTGAGTTATCTACCTTTGCTGTGAATTCATTCATTTTCATTCATTTCATCATGTCACAAAATATATTAACCTAATTAAGAGTAATACACTTTTATCAAAAATAGGACATGCTAAATTAAGGCAGAAAAAGAAGTTGCATTTTTGAAAAAATAGTAAAATATCTGAATTTGACTTTTACTAAGGGGAAATTGTGTATAATGAGTGTAAAAGTTATATATGTAAAAAAAGCAGTATGCTCCCATTTTGTTAATCCAATTTATGTTTAAATTTATAAATCATGTGTATGGTGCAATTATTTTATGAAAAAAAAGTTATGATAAGGCAGCATCCCTACAATACAAGTTCACAAAAATAGACATTAAGAGGTCACCCTGGGGTCATTTGTGATGGACAAGTTTGGTTAATAAACATTACATCATAACTGCATGAAAATCAGTAAAACCAATGAAGTTCCCAAAAACAATTTCAATTATCATCACAGTATATCATCTCTTTTCTCTCAAAAGATTCTTTCCAAGACATTTTAGGTATCTATTTAGATGTAGTGTGATTTTATTTTTAGATTATATAACTCATAACTATAAAAACTTAGACTTAAGTAATTTTAATATGACTGATTTGAAAGTTTTAATATCTTAGAAGATACCACCTTTGCTGAGAGAATGTAAACACACAAAATTAAAATTCCAACAGTGAATACATTTTTATGAATTTACAAGAAAAAGGTTCACACTATGATAATACAGATGATACATCATTGATTAAGAATTTTTTTGTGTGATTTTATTCAAATCTCCAAAAATGAAGGATTTAATGACCCCTATCTCAGCATATTTTGTACACTCACCAGAATTCAATAACTCTGTAACACAAGTTATATTGTGAAAAATGATTTTGTATAGATACCATTCAATGAAACAGTAATTTTTTCCCAAACAGCATATGACAATTGTCTCTGAAATGTTGTATAATATGATTGAATGGTTGACTTGTTATTAAAAGTACATACACAGTTAAACTTAAAATGACAATAAAACAAAAAACATCATCCCCTCCGTGTATTTTTAATGTCATGATGCACAAACCTATATATGTAGTCACTTCAATATATCAGAATTTAAAGGATTCTGTGTAATTTTGCTCTACATTTACCGAAATATTCTGTATTTTTTAAAAACAGTCATGGTAATAAATCACCTAATTTTCTTCATTTTGTTGAAAAGTCTTACATATGTATTACATTCCTGGCTCAAAATTTAAATATTTCATTAAAGACTTAGACCAATTGTTTTCTTCTATTTTACAATCAAACATGGTGGAAGACCCTGGATATTACCTATAGCAATCATAGTATAGGACCTTTGAAAATTGTACCCAGAATGCTTTAGAATCTGAAATAGTGATTTGTATTATTACATCTTGTTATTCTATTTTTTTTATATTATTGCTACACAACATTCAGTTTGTATGCTTACTTTAAACATGCCTTATAGATCTTAGTATTGCTGATCTATACAATGATTTCTGCTGAAATAAACTAGGCACTTTATTATTCAGCCAGATTTTTCTTTCTCTTAGCACTGAAAAATCATATCTTAAAAATCAGTAAGTGTATGTTAGATTCTCTGTGTATACTATGAAATAGATTAAATCTATGTGTATACTAGGTAATAGAGACACAAAGAAATAAAAAGATTTAAGTGTTTATGAAGGTAGGGAGTGATGAGTCTTGAAATGTTAGTTAGCCTCCGGGAGACTAGGGACCAGGATCTGTAGGGATTTTAGAGGGAATAGGAGTAAAGGAATGAATGTTGGATGCAAAGGAGTAGTTTCCTACTGTTTGACTGTGGATTAGTTGATTGGAATCATGGGTTGGCTATTTTCACCAAGACTAAGACAAATACAAGTTTGATTGATACACATAGTAATTGAGAATAAAATTTCAAATAGTAAACATGAGTTCAAGGAATTCCACACTTTTACCAGAATTCAGCAGGGGCAAATATATGTGAAAATTAAATTTAAACTCTGAAGTAAATGAAACCATTGAGCTATGAATTCATATGAGGGTAGGAATGCCCTTTACAGTCACGGTTATTTTTGGCTACAGTTAGCATCAAATTGGTTGAAATTTTACCATGATTCGTCAAAATATCCTTATCGTGATTCGTCAGAGGTCTCAAATAATTATCGTTACCATTATTTTTGGAAAAAATTTAACGTGATTCGTCAAAATCAGTTGATTTTTTTATCGTCTAAAAGAAAGTGTTCATTTTATCGTCATGCATCAGAAATTACCGTTAACGTCATTTGGCAAGAATTTTTACCGTTATTCGTCATGAAGGTACCCCCATTACGACCCTCTCATATGTGTGTTTATTGCAAGATTGCTTATACCAAAAACACTTTTTCAGTATTTCATTTGTTCTGTGTTTCATTTATATGTCAGCCATGTTAGATTTACAAAAAATGATACAGGAAGGGTTTTATATATATATATATTTGTATATGTTTGATGCTGTTATGGTTAAGGAATTGCCATTATCATGCAATGTTTTGAGATAAGTTGGATTTTGAAAGAAGAGGGTTGGGCTATTAAGTCATGTGACATGTTCAGCTTATTTTGTATGCATGTTTTTGTTGGGTTGGAGTTTATGGACGAGAGTTAAATTGTTTTTCCTACTTGAATTCAACAAGGAAAGGAAACTAATTTCTTATACTAAAGGAGAAATAGGATACAAGTTAACTCATTCTTGTTCTTTTTACTCAGTTTCTTGTAGGAGTTATGAAAAAACTCAAAATACTAAAAAGTACAACCGATATTCTTGAGTTTCTTGGAAAAACATGAATGCATGTTAAATGATATTTCACCTCTGAATCACTTTTTATACTGTTTCTTTTCAGATACTAAAATTACACTTTTCTTTGTGGAATAAATTGTGTATTTTTCTTCATATGAATAAATGAAGGAGTGGAATTAGATTTGATAGTTAATAAGACCTTTCGTGAAATTTTAAAGTAAAAAAAATTACCTAAATTTTTAAAAAAGTTAGATTTTCTGCTTTTAAAAATTGCTCTAAAATTCAATTGAGAGATCAATATATGTGTAAATACATGGATATTTATCTGTTTGCTGGTCACATGGCTAATGTACTAAACTATGAACAATTGTTTTTTTAGACACTTAAGGAGATGGAATCTAGAGATAAACTTAGCCAGGATTTGTCATCCTGTTTACTGATGGTTAATCTAGACTCGGCCAGAGATTTGCCTGTAAGTATGGACATCTTCTTTTTTAGTTATATAATATTCCATTGACATCCGATGGTTACATACATCACTTGCAGGAACTCATGTTTTGTTTAGTAGGAATTTTCATAGTCTTATTGCGAAATAAAATTTGTGTAAATTTGATTTTCATTGCTGTACATTTAAGCTGAATATTTTACTAGTAACAGTATATGACCTAACTTCAGAGTTTAATGTTATAAATGATAAAATTTATGTTGCTAATATTGTTAAAAGAAACCAAAATACGATAGTGGTTTCACTGTAAAAATTATCATCAATTCATCATTTTAGAATTCAAAATATTTTAGATAATATTTTTTAATAGTTTAAACCATTCTCATTCATCAACAATGGATGTTACTAATGGCAGTTTTCCATTTGTGCACCTATACTGAAAACTAATAAAATTGCTCTCTAAGTTCTGAAATAAAATGCTGTTTTCCAGCTGTCATACATGTGTCAATTTACAATCTAATCATTTTGTTAGATGCATGTTTAGAATTCAAATTTTCTTGCTCATTTTAACAGTATATTTTGAGAACCAAATTGTTGGTATGTTTTTGCTTTGATAAAAGAGTTTTTATTTTTCAAGTTTAATATTGTGTGTTGAAATGTGCAGTGTTTCTGATAACTGACCAATAAATATGACCATTGAATTAAGCAAGATGATACTTGATAATGATATGAATTAATATAAGTATATGGAAAATTCAACATTCTTTTGAATTTTTGAAAAAAATATGGTTTTTAATTGACAAAAATTTAAACTTTGCATTACTGGTATTTGAATTGTTTTAAAATGGGAATAATTTGAATTAAAAATAAAGAAAGTATATGTAAAAACACAGAGAAAATTTTTCAGATATGTAATGTAAAGTAACTTAATGTAAGAAAAATGTAATAACCACAATCCTTGAAAACTTAAAATTGTAAATAGATTTCTATAGAAAACTGTGATGTACTGTATTTAATTTTACTGTTTCCCAAAACCTGCACAATTCAAAACGATTTTGATGTTGAGTTATTTTTGTATGCCCTACCTTCAAAAGTAGGGGAGCATTTTATTGACTAGTTTGTGTATCTGCTGACCATATGCCAGTCCGTTTGTCCATCATTAATGTTGTTGCCATGAAGTTGTGGTCACATTTAGTGATACTTAGTACACATGTTAACTATGATGTGAAATTGAAAAAAAAATATATGCCAAATTAGGGTTTTGACCAGGATTTCACAGTTTACTGAAAACAGAAATGTTCTGTCCTTGGTAATATAATAAAAGCTTTGTACACTACTCTTTTGTATATGATCATTAAGGGATATTACACAGCTATACAATAAATTGTAAAGTAAAATTATGAAGAATTTTACACAACTGTTCTAGCTTCAGGAACTTGTTTTGAATCTGATATATAACTAACTTTGATAATACATTTATGTATCTTATACAAGATTCATGATCTTGCACACATCATAAAGTATCAATGATCTTTTGTTTTAGAAAAACAAATATTTTGATGGAAATAACATGGTAATTACATCTATTGTATTGTCTTAGTGTCCATGTATTGTCATGAAGTGTATTGTATAATAGTCAGTCTTCAGTACATATAGGATGTTCAAAATTGATCTTTGACACATTTGTTAAATGCTCACTGTAAATTCAGAAATTATTGCGATGTTTTTACTAATGCAAATAATGTGACTTGGTGAGTAGCGCAATATAAGAAGTCGCATTCTGATATCTGATACATATATCTGTATGCAGCTTTTCCTGAAATCGCAATGATTAATCTTGCATTTTTGTCAATTCTTCATAAATCACAATAATAAATGCACACTATAATTTCTGAATTTACAGTATATTAAATTGGTTAACATTATTGTAAACAACATTGATAGGACACAAATCATAAAAACGCAGGCCAGCTCCAAAGAAGGAGAGTATACTGGCTTGCATCTGTCTGTCTGTCTGTGCTTCTGAAAATCAGTCTCTTTAAAACATTTCTTCCACATTTTTCTCAGCACCTACAAGTCATAACTTCTAGATATGATTATGGCACCTAGCTATATCTTGTTATGCCATAATATGGGACAAGTTAACAATTTACAATGTTTACCATAGTTTTTTCAAAAGCCCTTTTTTTGCATGGCTTCAGGAGAGTTTTTCTGGATTTAAATTTTTCAGGAACGCTTGTAAACCTAAACATTTGAAAGCCAGGAATTCATAGAAAGTTATATAACCAAAAGGGACTTCAAAAGATTATAGCAAATTTCATCTAAGTTTAAGTTTGCCTGAGGAAGTTGGAACCTTAGTTTCTTAGTAAATTATTAATTTATTAACGGGGAGCTTTAGAAAATAATGTCCGTACTGAAGATTTATTATGTTCAAATGTCAAACCTTACTTTAAGCCTATTACAGGTATTAAGTAGAAGGGTCAAATTCTTCATAGCTTTTTTAAAGTCAGTTATAAAAATCGTTATGAAATTTTTATACTAATGTGTCAAAAATAAATTTGATTCAAACCAGTACTTGAGACTGACTAACACTCAGTAAAGTGGGTCGTGTCATTGCCTATAGACTTCTGATTCAGATGCTTATCTTCAATACATCATGATACTTCAGCCTTCTTTTTACACTAGTTTGTGCTTATCAAAATTAAAACTTAAAATCTGCAGTATTTGCATTTTGTGCTGGTGATTGTGGCATTTGTAAGCTAGATGTATTACGATTTAAACCTGGCTTACTTTTCTAATACATCAAATTATTGCATTTAAATTTTGAATGGACTGAAATACTACTGCAGTCATATTATCATGGTTGTCTGTATATGAACACTAAGGTTTCTGTGGTGAAGAAATTTTTACCAATCCTTGTGAAATATTTATGTTAAATGTTAGGTCAAAAATTATTTGGTTTTGAATATTTTAATTCTGGATCTTCATGAAGTCCTGTATGAATTTGCTCATAACAGATTCCATAGTGCTAGTGTTACTTTGAATAGACAGAAAACCTTTATGACATGTAAATATACATTTTAAAGCATGTTAAAAAAATGACTGTATGATCTCGCATGTTAATGTTTTCTATGAATTCTATGATCTTACTTGTAAGAATCATATTCTTGAAAGACTCCTCTATAACTTGAATCATGTCTTTATACAACATGCAACTACACCCTTGTATACTAAAATATGTGCTTTTGATATTAAAACTAAAAACTGCAACATTTTGCATATAAACTGTAATGTTGATGATATTGATCTTTTTTCAGCTAGACGCAATTTTTATTATAATATAAAACTGATGTATTTATTTGAATATTCAATCAGAGCAAAACCATTGGGAGATAACTCTTTGACAAATTGGAGATAACACTTTGATCAATGGAAGATAACTCTTCCATGTAGATTTTCCAGTATTTCATAACGTTACGTCTATTTATGAACAGAAATAGGTGTGGGGTAATATGTCAATGAGACAGCAACGTAAGACACAAATCGCCTAGAGTCTTAAAGACACAAATCGCCTGGAGTCTTAAAGACACAAATCACCTAAAGTCTTAAAGACAGAAATCGCCTAGAGTCTTAAAGACACAAATTGTCTAGAGTCTTAAAGACACAAATCACCTAGAGTCTTAAAGACACAAATCGCCTAGAGTCTTAAAGACACAAATCGCCCAGAGTCTTAAAGACACAAATCACCTAGAGTCTTAAAGACACAAATGGCCTAGAGTCTAAAAAACACAAATCGCCTAGAGTCTTAAAGACACAAATCGCCTAGAGTCTTAAAGACACAAATCGCCTAGAGTCTTATAGACACAAATCGCCTAGAGTCTTAAAGACACAAATCGCCTAAAGTCTTAAAGACACAAATCTAGAGTCTTAAAGACACAAATCGCCTAGAGTCTTAAAGAGTTGTTAATAACAGAGACTATCAAAGATCTTCCATCAGTATTAGATTCACAAAATGACAAAAAATTTAGATGATATCAAAAACCAACCACTGAGGAAGAAGCTGACTTTGTACAGGCACATAAACATGTGGAAGGATATTAAATAATAAATCTTTTAGATCTCAGCCCTCTCCCTCTTAATTTCAATCAAAAGGTCTCTGAAATATCAATATATTTAATGATATAAAAATAAGAAGATGTGGTATAATTGCCAATGAGACAACTCTCCACCAGAGACCAAATGACATAGAAGTTAACAACTATAGGTCACTGTATGGCCTTCAACAATGATTAAAACCCATACCGCATAAACCAACAATATTCGTATAACTGGATAATAATTACCAATTATTATACGGGCACAAAAAATGGGTTTTTATATATCAATATTACATTGTTGTTCAATAATATGTGTACAATGATTAGACTCAGTTAAAATACAAATAAAATACTATTTTTCGTAATCCACAAAAATTGATACCCACAAAAATAAATGAATCCACCGTATTCAAAATATGATTTATAAATTCAAATTATAATGTTCATAATCTTAAAATCGGCACTTGTTTAGCTTTAAGAGTAAATAATTGATAAATCTTATTTTCCCTTTCAGAAAATTTAATTCTGGGTATAGTTAATTGAACAGTGTACACCACAATAGCACAGTTGGTTGATGAAATTGAACACAGATAATCTAACCAATCAAAGTACATTATCTTCATGTTGCCTTTCCAATTACATAAAACGTAATCTGTTCGCTTGTGTTTCAGAGGGCAAAGAAAACCATGTCAGAGCCAAGTCCTTATGTCAAACTGTCATTAGGCCAGAGTAAATATGAAAGTGCAATTAAAGCAGACACAGATGAACCAAGATGGGAACAGAACTTTAGGTTCTTGGTCCACAACCCAAACTTACAGAATTTGGAATTGGACGTTAGTATTGTAGTACAGTAAAGTCTGTCTGTAATGATAATTACTAAGGGTTTTCTATGAACTTACGTCTGATGCCAAATAATAAATACATATGTACTACAATTTCCCTTTAACAACAGTTATTCACATACTTGCTGAAATAAAAAATCAACACTTTATTCCAATATTCAGATATTTCTGTCCATGGTTAAGAAGTTGAATATCAATGAAGGTTTAACCACTCATGCTTATTTGAATTAAAAATTTCCAGAAAATCAGCATTAAAAAGTTTGAATATGCAAATTGGGTGTCTGTAGATGTATTGTCTTTCAAAATGTAAACACCCACAATTCCAACCATATATCCTTTTCCCCATTATAAAAGTTATAAAAAAAAATAATAGATGAATAGCAAGTTTACATAAAAATTGGACATTCAAAAATTTTACTTTTATAATCTGAAAGTTGTGGATACCAGTCCTAAAAAATCACTGGTTTTTTTTATGCCCCACCTACAATAGTAGAGGGACATTATGTTTTTCGGTCTGTGCGTCTGTTCGTCCATCCGCCCATTCGTCCGTCTGTCCCTCTTCAGGTTAAAGTTTTTAGTCATGAAGTTGAAGTCCAAACAACTTGAAACTTAGTACACATGTTCCCTATGATATGATCTTTCTAATTTTAATGCCAAATTATAGTTTTGACCCCAATTTAACGGTCTACTGAACATAGAAAATGATAGTGTGAGTGGGGCATCCATGTACTATGGACACATTCTTGTTTTTATTAGAAATTAATCTGACATTGTTTTTCAATGCTGTTACTATAAACAGAATATATGAAAAATTGGTTATAAAAATGAAAGTCTTTAAAAAAACATTACAATTATTTTTTAGGTTATGGAGAGTAAATCTAAGACTAGAATTGGCAACTTGAAAGTTCCACTGAAAAACCTTTTGGTTGAACCAGACCTAATCGTTGATAAATTCTACAATTTAGTGAACTCTTCACCAAAAGCTCAGATTAGAATGAGATTGTGTTTAAGGGTAAGTATAAAAGGCTGTGCCTAAACTTAAAGATACGTTATAATTGCAAATGAAGACATTTGGTTTCCGGACAATAACTTTTGTATAAGTGAATGGATCTCTATGAAATTTAACCACAAGGTGCAATAGCACAAAAGGAAGGTAGGGATTGATTTTTGGGGTTATAGTACTAAGTATTGCGCAACAGCAAAGTATTGCACAACAGCAAGAAATCTTCAATTGAAAATAAATACAAATCTTTTAATCAATTTTAATGAGGATTAATTTAAAGTCTTGAATTGTTTGAGGTTTTTACCATGTATTACTATATTGGATATTTGGACATTTTTAAATAGGTCTACATTGAGGTCCAAAGGGTCCAAAATTAGACTTTGTTTGATTTCATCAAAAACTGAATTCTTGTGGTTCTATGATATGATGAATCTAACTGTGCATTCAGATTTTTATACGCCCGTCAAATTTTTGACGGGACGTATTATTGTATACAAATGTCCGGCGTCCATCCGTCTATCTGTCTGTCTGTCTGTCAGGCGTAAACATGTCGCACCGTAACTTGAGAATGACTTATCCAAATTTCATGAAACTTAACATAGTTGTTTCTTATGATGGTCAAACGATCTGTATACTTTTTGGTGAAAATAAGATTAAAACTTTTTGAGTTACGGGACTTAGTAACTAAAACAGGTGTGTGTTTTTTTTCACATGTTGCGCCGTATCTCAAAAACAATTTATGATTATTTCTTAAAACTTTACACACTTCTTAGTTATATTAATCTTAAGATCTGTATACTTTTTGGTGATGATTCAAAATTTTATTTTAGAGATATTGAGTATTTTGTTAAAAAAGGGGGAGGGGTTTTCACATGTCGCGCCGTATCTCAAAAACAGTTTATGATTATTGCTTAAAACTTTACACACTTCTTAGTTATATTAACCTTAAGATCTGTATACTTTTTGGTGATGATTCAAAATTTTATTTTTGAGTTATTGAGTATTTTGTAAAAAAAGGGGGAGGGGTTTTTCATATGTCACGCCGTATCTCAAAAACGATTTATGATTATTGCTTTAAATTTTACACACTTCTTAGTTATATTAATCTCAAGATCTGTATACTTTTTGGTTTTGATTCAAAATTTTATTTTAGAGATATTGAGTTTTTTGTAAAAAAAAAAGGGGGTTTTCGCATGTCACGCCGTATGTCAGAAACTATTTATGCTTATTGCATAAAAATTCACACACAACACGATGGGCGTATCATGCGCTCATGGCGCAGCTGTTTATTAATTTTGGGCCCTGTTTTTAAATTGGGGCTGTTCCATAAAAACATACATTGGACCCAGGGAAGGCACTTTCAAATCTCAACTATGGGTGGGTGTCATCTATGTTTTTTCAAAGTGGAAATGTAATTGAAATTTAATTTGCCTCTATAGGGGGTTACCCCATTTTTCAAGTGCTTTCTCTGGGTACCTTGTATGTTTTAATGGAACAGCCCTTAGTCCATATTAAGGTCCAAAGGGTCCAAAATTAAACTTTGTTTGACTTCTTGTTTTTTTTATATGCTGAATCTAACCATGGAATTAGATTTTGGATATTGGACCATTAAGTAGATTAAATGTCCCATTTCAAATTTTTAAGTTATCTGACCACATTTATTCTGTGTCAGAAATCTATAATGTGTCAAATATTTAATCACTATCCAAATTCAGAGCTGTATCAAACTTGGAATATTGTGTCCATACTTGCCCCAACTGTTCAGAGTTCGATCTCTGCGGTCCTATCCAGCTGCTCCAGGTGGAGCGTATTTTTGCCTTTTATCTTGAAAATTTTAATAGATATATAGGTAGATATTTGATTAGCAAAAATGATCAGTCTGACAAGATCTATAAATGAGTCAACATTGCTTAAATTGGTAGTCAACTCCTTAGAGGTGTTATTGTCAGTTTTTTGAAGATCTTTATCATTTTGTTCGGCATTTGTCTATTATTTTGAAAATTGTTATAGATTGATAGAAACTCATATAAAGCAAAAATGACAAGCAAGATAAGATCTGAAAATAGATCAGCATAGATGAAATTGTCCTTAAATGATGATTTTTACCTTTGTTTTTGTTTTCTGGGAAAAAAACTAGAGAAGATAGAGATACACTGTAAACTGGAAAATGATCTGACAGCAAAACAAGATAAACAAAATAGAGGTTTTAGTCATATATTATATTCTAATATTCAATGTTGGAGAGTGTCCATTGTTGAAGATTCACATAGACCCAAGTGAGTGACTAAGGTTTTTTAGAGTCTCTAGATTTAATTGCCTCCTCCTTAGGAAATTGAAAGTTATTTAAAAAAAAAAGAAAATCCTAAATGCTATCATCCATGTATTTTTTTATTCAGTGTTTTATAGCCTTCCTCTTAATAACTCAAACAACCATATTTTAGAGCCTTAAAATTTTTCACCTTGAGTACCAACCTACCGGTATTTTCTAGGTTCTTACATCTGAGAAAAACCAGGCAGACATTGAGGAAGAGGAAGAAGAGACCCCCGTGGAAACTTTACAGAGTACAGAATCCTCTGTTGACCCAGTTGCACAGCAATCTACCACTCCTCAGACAGCTGATAAGACTGCCAAGGCAGGAAAAGCTGACAAGCCTGTTGTTAAGAAAGTGGAAGCAGTTAAAGTGGAAAAAGTAAACAAAGTGTCTAACAAACCTCCAGAGGGTCAGTTAATACCTCCTATGGACTCATCCACACCTATCAAGGACTCAGATGTCAGGCAGAGGAAATCTCCCTCGTATGTACTAATTTAATTTACTTCTATGATTGATTGTATAATGTTAATTTATTATAGTATAATTGCCTGAATTCTTTGTTTCTAAAGGTACCTTGAGGTAGGGTAATTTTTATATGTAAGGTTAAGTGTAGTAACAGTAGTAAACAATGTTTGAGGTAAATTAAAGGCAAGTGAGTGAAAAATAAAAGGACTTCTTATAGCTTAAAACTGAACAAATTACTTCTTCATGTGATTTTTTGCTGAACATATATTAACATATCTGCTGATACAGCTCATTTCATATAGCTAAAAAAATCGATTGCAAATTTATAAAACTAAATGAAAAAATGTACAAGTTTTATATTTCATAAAACAGTGGTTTCAAAAGTCATTTGTCTAGAAAGATTGATCATTAATTAAAAAATAAAAATTCAGTGATTAGTATAAAATCTTATTTAGTTTTTGCATAATTCTTTAGCACTAACCAAGGAGGATTATATGGACGTGGAAGAATACAAATCACATTAAGATACTCTACACAGAGACAAAACCTTATAGCAGTTGTACATAAATGTGTGTAAGTATACTCATTTAAGCTGAGAGGATTGCTTTAAACTGGTTTTCCACAAGGCATAAAGGACATATTTTGTACACAATTGACATTCAATCCATATTGTAACTGAATTTATTAATTTAAGATCGATTTTTTGAGATTTAGAGACTTTGTTACTTTTTGAAAGTCTTTAAATTACAATGACAACTCAGTTTCTTCAAACAAGCCTACCCCTGTGAAATTGTGTATGAAGAAAAGAGATGGGGTCGGGGTATACATTAACCAGACAGCAAACCAATTACACAAAAAAAAAACGCATTTAGAGGTACAGTCCTCACAATAGACATGTAATGTCATGCTCTTTATCCCTTTAAGCATATGTATAGAAAATTGAGTTGAACACTAGTCATATTTGGGGCCCTTTATAGTTTGCTGTTCGTTGTGAGCCAAGGCTCCATGTTGAAGACCGTACTTTGACCTATAATGGTTTACTTTTACAAATTTGGATGGAGAGTTGTCTCATTGGCACTCATACCACATCTTCTTATATCTATTAAATGCAATCAACATATACCAAGAATTGTAAGTAAATTGACTTTATTGGTCATATTCATATGACAATTAGTTAATAAGGTATGGCATGTTTAAGACATGTTAGTGACATCACAAAGGGTGTTTAACTACCATAGTGACCACACTGTTTTATCCTTCATTTATTACAAAATAACCTCATTTTGAAAGAACTAATGAATTTTAGTACATGTGTTTTAACAATTCAGGGGCAAAATAATGTGTCTTATTTTTGAAAGTTCACAATTCTGTTCTTGATTGATGAACCAAGGACTTAAGTTCAAACGTCCTAATAATGGCAGCTTTCAAGATTATGTTTGTGATTTGATCCTTAAAGTTCAAAGTTCATTCAGAAAATCCATTGATACTATGCAACTAGTTCAACCCACAACTTTCATTTTACAAAGTCTGAACTATAACACTTAATTTAGGAATAACAGTACTGTATTTGAAGAGGAGTTGCCACCATCAATTGTGAATTTGATGGTCGCCATTGAAGTTTTACTGGTGATGTAGAACAGTAAGATGAATATTTGTGACCATCAAATGCATAATTGATGGTGGCAAATCTTCAAATAAGGCTTGTTATTCCTATTCTAATGCAATACTCATAAATTAAATCATTTAAAATATACCGTAAACATCTACTATCATTGTTGCTAATGAGTTAGACTGTCAACAGTTGAATTGATGCTGATGTCATCCAATAAAAAATAGCTCCAAATGTCACTATGAATTTTAATTGCCAATCATTTCCAAAATATCTTTGCAGGTAATATTCCCCAAAACTGACCAATAAATATGGCTACCAACTTTTTAGAATACATTTTTAATATATTACTTTTTTTTGATATACAGTAAGTTAAGAAATTATTTCAAGGTTTTTATTTATGCGAATATTGCAATCGGGTGAGTATTGCAATAATAAGAGCTCGCATTCTGATAAGGGATGCATTTATCAATATGCAGCTTTTCCTGAAATCCCAATAATTAATCACACATTTTTGTCCATACTCAAATCGCAAATCATAAATACACGCAATAATTTCTGAATTTACAGTATATGTTTGAGTAAAATACTGATGTGGCGTATAATTCATTTCAGGAATTTGATACCATGTGATACAGACGACAACTTAGCTGATCCTTATATTAAGATGTATCTCTTGCCTGATAAGTCCAACAAAAAGAAGACTCAAATTATCAAAAATACTCTTAATCCTGTCTGGGATGAAACGTAAGTCAAAGGTTGAATAGGATCTACTGGTAAACTCAAAACTTTCAAATATGCTCATAATATAAAAGAAAAACTTGAATACTAAGTATTTTATTACTATTGACATCTTATTGGAAGTTTTATAGTTTCTGGATATAAACATTAATTTACTGGGTTTCAGCATTTGAAAATCAGTGGGAAAAATGAATATCATTTGGTTAAATGGTTATTGAAATTTGTTGTTGGACAAACAAAAAATCAACATCGATAGGATTATTCACAGAACCACAATATTTTAATAATACTTGGACTTTACTACAAATTATTTGAATGGTGATTGCAAAACAATCACTTTTGGTCTGTTGAAGGAAGAATGAAAGGGAAATGTTTCATTTTCTGAATTCTGGACACACTCATAATTTGTACATTTATTTAAAGAGACATTTTGTTCTCCAAAAACAATACATCAACCATTCAGGGTTACACCGATACACGATTCAACATTTTCAAAGATCTTAATAATTGACAGACTTTTATATTTTACAGATTTGAATTCCCAGTGAAGCAAGCTGATCTGTCTAGCAAAACTTTAGAATTTTCTGTAAAGAATGATACATCTTTCTATACCTCCAACAAGAAGTTCATAGGAATTGCTCAGATAGAGTTGGGAAACATGGACCAAACAAAAGCTGCCACTCATTGGTAAGAATCATAGTCATATAATTACATTACATGTATGTTTTAGAAGAATCTGTTATTATGATTGGATAACAACGCTAAAATTAACCTTCATATCCCAATGAAGTGTAACATTCATGATGACACGTGCCATCACAATAAAGTGCACAGGTTACTTGAAGAAATAGATGATAGAAATCGATTTTTCATGACCCTAGCATAAAAATGTAATTATAAGAATTGAATGCTTCTTTTAGTAATTTTATAGGGTTGTAACAGTGTTGATCGTGCGCACATTTCTAGAATGAAGCGCTTCTGCGCTTCATACAAATTGTGCTGCGGTCAACACTTTTACACCCCAATAAAATTACAAAAAGAAGCATTCAATTCTTAAATGAAGAAGACATGTACAACATTAAGAATATGATAGGATATTGGTATATGTCTCCTATCTTAACTCTCCAAACATTCTTAAGGCTGAGAAAATTAAAAAATAACCCTTTTACATAATAGCACAAAAAACATTAATAGGTTAACGGTTTGAGCAACAATGTTGATTAGAATTCAATGAAAAAAAGATGAAATAATATTATATAGAAAGACAAACAAGTTGCACAACAAATGAATTTTGTCATTGTCAGCCTTTGTTTTAATTAAAAATTAAAATAAGATTATGATTGCCAATGAGACAACTCTCCACCAGAGACCAAATGACATTGAAGTTAACAACTATATGTCACTGTACTGCCTTCAACAATGAGAAAAACCCATACTGCATAGTCAGCTATTAAAGGCCACAATATGATAAATGTAAAAACAATTCAAATGAGAAAACTAACGACCTGATGTATGTACAAACCAATGAACAAAAAACAAATATGATATACAACATCAAACGACAATCTCTGAATTACTATCCCTGTAACAGGGTTGAACTAGTTTGCTGGGGCCAAAACCTCCCCGTAACCTTTGACAGTGGTGTAACAGTACATCATAAAAACAACCAATAAAAAGTTGAAAAGGGCTTAACTCATCAGATTGATACAAAGCAGAAAAACGAACAATTTCTGATTTGATATTGTTAACACAGGGAAATTACAATTATTTACACCGACAAAAAACCTGCAGAGAAAAATTATGAATAAATTTGTGATGATAGATTTAATGTAAACCTATTGGAAATTTTTTTGAAAAAACGAAAAGGGAAATGATTGTCATCATGGTTGACTTTTAATACGCCCGTTTACAGAACGTATTATGGTATACCGTTGTCCGTCCGTCCATCTGTCTGTCTGTCCATCGTCAACATGTCGGACATTAACTCAAAAATGTTTCATCCAATTTGCATAAAACTTTGGTGAATTGTTCATATCTATTGATGTGAGCTCCCTTTTGTTTTTTTATAAAATTTTGATTTTACTTTTCTGAGTTATGGGGTTTTATTCTTTAAAAAAGGGGGGATTTTCCAGTTTTCGGACAATAACTCAAAAATGCTTTCACCAATTTGCAAGAAACTTTGGTCAATTGTTTATATCTATTGACATGAGCTCCCTTTTGATTATTATAAATTTTAGATTTTATGTTTCCGAGTAATGGAGTTTTATTCATTACAAAAAAGGGGAATTTTCCAGTTTTCGGACAATAACGCAAAAATGCTTTCAGCAGTTCTCATGAAACTTTGGAGAATTTTAATATCTATTGATGTAAGCTCCCTTTCAATTTTTATAAATTTTAGATTTTACACTTCCGAGTTATGGGATATTATTCTAAAAAAAGGGGTGATTTATGGGATTTTATTCATAAAAAAGGGGTGATTTTCTAGTTTTCGGACAATACCTTTAAAGTGCTTGGAGCAGTTTTCATTAAACTTTGGTGACTGGTTTACATCAATTAAGATAACCTCCCTTTAGTTTTTCACAAATTTCTGATATGTCATTGAGAAGTTATTGAACTTTATTCGTAAAAAATGCGACGGGCGTATCATGCGCTCATGGCGCAGCTGTGAAATTAAAATTGGTAAATTCATAGTACACTCAAGTGTGAATTTTATCAGAGGAACAAAGTCAAATTAGACATTGATGAAGACGGACACTTATTACTATTGCATAACAACTGGAAGAGAAGACATCAAAGACAAACATCTCATGAAATACTGGGAAATAATAATTAAACAATTGATTGTTTTTGATTGTGAGGAAATTGCTTTCTCCATATATGAACAGTAGTTTTTAAGAAGAAATGTTATAGACATTTTTAATCCATTTATTTATACATACGTTTCAGTAGACCTCCCCGTAAAAGGGTCATGGTAATTTGCTATATTTTATATTGATCTGATTACAGGTTTGATCTGCAGCCAGATGAAGATGATTGTAAACCAGTACCACTGCCTTCAGAAACAGACTTGTAGACTGTTGAACATAGATCTGATGTATATAGTCTTTGTATGGTTGATAAAGGGAATTGCAATAGTTATAACTAAGAACATTATCTATATATGTGTCTTTGTACTTTTTCATTGCATTCAGTAACTTTCTTTGTTTCTTCTTTATCAATTCATGTTTTCTTTGTCCTTTAGCAACGTTCCTGTCTGTTCTTTGAGGTTATTTTTTAGAAAGGAATGATTTGAATTGTTCTGAATTTGTAGAAGTACCTCAACCATATCCCAACATGTATGATTCAAATGTTCAGTCATTATGTGGAACAGAATTTTTAGTGACTGATAAATTTCAGACATTGGAATTACGTGCTTTTCATGTTAATGTTTGTATAAGTTTGCCAATGATAATGCAAGTTTTATGCACATTTTTATGTTGTTATATTTTCTAATTTTATTTACAATTAATGTATGCACGAAATATTACATCGATTTTCTCCTAGTGAGAATCTGTATTTTATCTTTAAAAGCAAAATACTCCTTTAAATATATATATATGGTTTTTCTTGGATTAGCTTAAAATACGAAGGTGAATAGCAGGTCTAAGTTATTTGTTTTTATAAACTTTGTTGTTACCATGAACAAGTAAGTTAAATTATCATCCTTATCCAGAGGATTATGGGTAATTTTATTGTTTTTACTGTCTTATTAATAACAAAAAATAACTATACTATGCAAAACTATATAGATTGGTTGTGCCATTAGTGCTATTAATGCTATAATAGAAATGAATATTCCACATGATCTATTTAGCTCCCTTTAAAGGGTTTTTGGATATTTTGGGCGAAAATTAAGCACTTTGTTAAAAATCAGTTTGTTGACAAATAGTTTAATGTATAGGTTTTTTCAATTTGTTTTTCTTTTATGTTAATTTTATACAATTTAATATATCTAAATATACTCAAAGCATATGTATATATTTATATATTTGTACCATAGTTATACTAATACTCCAAAACAGTGCTAGCTTATATTGCATAGTAGAAAAAGATGACCATTCATCAGAATTAGATATTTTGGCTGATGGTGATATTTTTATTATAAATGGTATTTGGACATGCTTAGAGGTCAATAGGTGATAGTTAATTGTGCTATCTATAGTTTTGCTCTATTTTAAGAGTTATTTATCATTGATAAAGACTTTTAATCTGTTACAATGCTATATTATACAGATCAACAGATTCATATGAATCCCTAAGGAGGGGATGATTTGTGATAATAGTTTGAGGAAAAATCAATATTGGACATTTCTGGTGGCAATCACTTATTCTGCTGTTGGCTCATAAAGTTATGTTGTAAACGTTTATAAAGACGAGAAAGTCTCTCTGTTAAATAATATATTTCTCTAAATAAAAATGTCTGTCAACTCTCCATGACACCATTTCATTAGATCTGATATTTGTTCTTGTTCTGAATATGCATGCAGTTTTTTCCATTGGATGTTAAATAAACAACAATCAATCTTATGAATCTTAAAAAATAAATCAGTGCCAAAATATTGGAATAAAATGACAATGTTCTCTGCATCTTCTCTAGATAACATTTCTTTTCTTGTTTTTGTTGAATTCAACAAATGGAATAAAATGTTCTAGATTTACTAGAAGGCCTGATACATCTGGGCATTTAAATGATAAAACTTGCCAGTTACCTAGTCAGATGTTTCAGATTCAAGAAAAGTTATATTTATTTTGGACTGCTAAACAGATTTGTTCTCTGTTTGATTTTATATAAAACAATCATTTGGATATTTGTTCTCTGTTTGATTTTATATAAAACAATCATTTGGATATTTGTTCTCTGTTTGATTTTATATAAAACAATCATTTGGATATTTGTTCTCTGTTTGATTTTATATAAAACAATCATTTGGATATTTGTTCTTTGAATAGTTTATGTTATTATGTTATGTTTACATTGCCATAATAATTTTGAAATATGTTTTTCTTTTAACTCAAAATGTCATATCAGTAGAGAGAGAGGTTGAAGACAAAATTTGGATGTAAGAAATCATTAAAGTACACATACATGCTTATTATAACAATATTTTATTTTCACACACTGACCAAGAATAGCATGAACTTGGTTATATTTTAATAAAATTGATTTATAATAAGTTGGTCTTAGTGTTCTATCTATAGAGTAATTGGACTTCAAAAACCTTGTTTCCATTGACAAGTAACATTATCTTTGGACAAAGAATTTTAAAATCTGATGTCAAACTTATTTGTTTGAAACATTAAGAATTTCAGGTAAACTTTGGGATATCCTCCTCCCCTGTCAGAGAATGTTTCGAAGATTTTTTTTACAGGATAATGCATGGTATTGTTAAAATAAACATAATTCATTTTCTTTTGAAAAAAGAGGAGGGTTTAGGGGTGATTTAGATCTGCTTCTGGAAAGTAATGAAGATTGCTTCAAAGCTTCACAGTTGTGTTTTAAGAAGATATATTATTGTTAAATTATTTTAATATTTTTATCACTTTATTAACAAAAAGATGCAATTCATGACAATTACTTGTGATATGATTGTTAATTTCTATTAAAGTCTATTTAAATATTTACATTACAACATGTCAGTGTTATAGAAAACTTCACTTTCAGTGGTTATGCAATGTAAACAATATTTATTTTCACATTGATTAAAAACATGCTATTCATTAATGTTGTAAAACTACGCCTGATATTATTATTGGACTCCATTGCTATTAAATTGGCACATTTAGTATTGTATGCAGTGTAGATTTACAATTTGTATAATTTTTGAATTTATAACCTGTTTTCTATACATAAATGTTGATTTCAGTGTTAACAATATAATAAAAACACCAGATATTTATCTAAATTTTTCCTGGTTTATAGTGAGACATTGCTGTCAAAATTTGCTTTATTAAAGTGTAAAATTTTATGGGATATTTTTTGTTTTAACATGCACTTTATTTTAACAAGTAAGAAGTGCACTTAAAATGTAGGACTTAAAAGACTGAACATGCAATTATAACCTTATTATTTCATGTAAACAAGAAAATTGAGAATTTTTTTTTAACAATCTGAGTAAAAAATACATTTTGTCCCCTTGCTCTTAAAAGTTACTGGAGATAGCATAATTTAATATTTTCCTGTAACACCTCTTTGAATAAGTGCTATATTTAGGTTCTGTTGTCCTGTTAACTATATAAGATATATATTTTTCTCATTTATAAAATCCCAATTTGTTAGAATATTACAACATTGTCATATTGTTTTGTTAGAATTGCAATTTTCCCCGTAGTATATAAAGTCAATCACTAAACAAGTAGAAATAATCTGGTTATTGTTAAATTTGGTTGTTGTAACAGCTGATAAATTATCAATAAATTAGTTGGTTGTAAAATATGATTTATGACATCAAAAAACTTCTATGATTTAAGCTTATACTTATGAATATATATATTGGTCCTAGTATTTAGGAGTAATAATCTATTACCATAGTGCTATGTCTTTTTTATCACTTGACATTGCTTATGTAACAAAACTGTGACAATGTTGGTATATTATAAACACAAAGTGATTATATTTAGTGGTTGGTAGTATATTAACCAATTAAACTTCTTTCAAAGTATCTATGATTTATTTATTGAGTTAACTTAAATGTTTGTTTTAGAAGCCCACTCAGCATTTTTCTTCTTGTATGGTAGGGTAACCATATGGTTTCTTGGGTTCTTGTGAGCAACTGAGTAATGCAAAGTATGAACTATTAAACCTTCCTTTAAAATTTTTAAATGTATATTGTCATGACGAAATTAACCAGTTTGATATTGCTGACATTTTACATATCTTTTCTACATGTATAGTCCTTGATTGATTGTGAAATGATACTTTATGTTTTCATGTGATAACTTGAGAATGGTTTGACCAATCCTTGTCAAATTTGAAAACTAGTATATTGTTTCTAATCGAAAAATGGAGGTCAAGTTTGAGTTTTATCATTTTTTCTTTTGTATTCAAGAGTAATTATTCTTCATTTGTTGAAACATGGTGCTTTATCGTTTTCACTTTTCATGATATAACTTGAGAACTGATTTAATTAGTTGTTTCTGATAACAGAATGGAGGTCCTGTTGAATTTTGACAAATTTTGGCATATACTGTTCAGCAGGTATGGCCCTTGATTGTTTTCACAATGATGTTACATAGCTATCATTGTGTATAGAATGATTGTACGGTGTACATGTTCATATGGCAGGGTTCATGTTTTCATGGTTGATGGCCAATGTCAAGTTTTCGTGGTTACATTCTTTTTCAAATACTATCAACAAGTAAAATAATATTTTATAAATTTGGTTTGTCAAAAGCTTTTATTTGGATTGATAGATTAACAGCTGTATTTGGTGTATGGAATTGTTGTAAAGTGTGCATGTCCGTCAAGCAGTGCTTTTCTGACCATGACCTCATTTTCATGGTTTATTGGTAAAAGATGAAGTTTAGTGGTAAGGTCTGTTTTTCAGATACTATAAGTAAAAGGTCAACTATAGGCAAGACATTTCAGCGTGTGAACATTTGTATGTTATTGTTGTACTTGTAGTAAGACATATTTGTTACGTTTGGAGGACGAGTTTTTCAACAAACAATCTGCATTCCCATGGGAGCAAACTGTGTCCCTCTTCTTGCCGATTTGTTCCTTAATTTATATGAGGCTGACTTTATATAGGAAACTTCTTAGGAAGAAAGAAAAGAAGTTAGCAGCAGTAAAGGAAAACTTTACTTTCTGCTATAAAGATGATGTTCTCTCACTGAATAATTCAAAATTTGGTGACTATATTGAACGCATCTATCCCATCGAACTTGAGATAAAGGATAAAACAGATACAGTTAAGTCTGCCACATATATTGACTTACATCTAGAAATTGACAATGAGTGTTGGTTGAAAACAAATCTTTACGACAAAAGGGATTATTTCAGCTTCCAAATTGTGAACTTTCCATTACTATGTAGCAACATTCCAGCAGCGCCTGCATACAGATTATATATCTCCCAGTTGATACGATATTCCAGGGCCTGTATTTCCTATCATGATTTCCTTGATAGAGGGTTCCTGCTCACAAAGAAGCTATTAACCAAGAGTTCCAAGTGTTGAAGTTGAAATCATCCTGTCGTAAATTTTACGGATGCCATCATGAGTTGGTTGACCGTTATGGAATATCCCTTTCACTGATGATAGCGGACATTTTCCTAATGTCGTAACTACAATCCGGTCCCCTTTTCCCCTGAATGTGACCTACCGAATTAAGACTTATTACCGGGTTTGTACTAACATGAGCAACACAACTGGTGCCACATGTGGAGCGGGATCTGTTTACCCTGAGCACCTGAGATCACATCCAGTTTTTGATGGGGTTCGTGTTGCTCAGTCTTTAGTTTTCTATGTTGTGTTTTGTATACTGTTCACATGTTAGAGAAAAAAGAATATTACTTAGCATATCCCTAGTTAGCCCTAATATTGAATAACTGAAAGTTGACCTGATCAATTATTATAATTTTATGATATATTAAAGATCACCTTCCTTACAAGCGAGTTTTCCTGAAATATTAATAAAATTTAATGTAACAAAAATTTTTAAAAATCAATTAAAAGAAACACTATTGTTTAAAATTAAATGTCACCTTTTATAAATGCATTTTATGCTAACCTCACCTAAAGGACAGGAGAGCTATTGTCACCACTTGGCGTATGTTGTCATCTGTCTGTCGTATTTAACTTTGAAATAAAAACTTCTGTGCCACATGTTATTAAACTTTACCTAAATGTTCCTTAGGAAATTTATTTTTAAAAATTATATATAGGGATATGATCCATCAACAGAAATGGATACTTTTACTAACTATAGAACAGAGGGATGAAACTGCAGTGTTTGGGTTATATCTCACCAAATAAAGTAGTTAAGAGCAGATCAAGGTCTATCTCTAATGAAATTTTCAGAACAAATGCCCCTGAAATCTCCTATATTAGCAAATTTCACAGTTTTTGGCTTATATCTCGAAAACTAAAGCAGTAAGAGAAAAAAAAACCTGACCAGGTAAATATGATAAGCAGGTAAAGATCAACTATATCCGTATGGAATTTTCTGAAAAATCAAACAACCCGCTATCAAATGTCTTTTTTGGCAAATGTTGCAGTGATTGATTTTCAAACTATTCCAGATTGAGAGAAATTTCATGTTTCATCAACTGCTTGAAAAACACTAGTTTTTTGTCATGTTAATTTCTCACTTATTCAGAGTAATATGATAACTATACATGTAATTGGTATATATGATGATCCTTATAAGACAGGGTTTACCTGATCTCAACCTCATTTAATGGATCAATGATCAAGATTAATTTGTCGTGGTCAAGTCCCTATGACGGATACTGTATGCAGTTGGTTAACTATATTTGGCGTACGGAATGATTTTAAGGTCTACATGTTTGAGTGGCAGGTTTCATCTGAGCTTGAAATCATTTTCAATGTTCAGTTTTCATGGTAAGCTCTAATTTGCACATACTATAAGCAAAAGGTAAACTGTATTTGGAGTATACAATGATTGTAGGGAGTACATGTCTGGAAGCTTTCATCTGACATTGACCTGATTTTCATAGTTCATTGGTCATCAATGTCAACTCAATGGGTAGTCTTTGGTTTGTTCTGTAAGATGCTACTCAAGTGGATTCGTGACGGGTACATTTGTAGAGCTTCCAGTTGACTTTCTGATTTGATTACAAGGTTCCAAGTATACCAAGAAGGGTGCGTTCAATCGTTCACACATCCAGTTCCCCATCGGATGATGGGGTGTAGTCCTTGACTTCTTCATTCCAGTCGGAGTGCAGAGTTCTTTCATAATTTCTTTCGAAATATTGATCAGAATGGATCCTCTTTGTATTTTGTTATGCAGCATATAGTTATCAAAGAGTGCTGTCAACTGTCCTCTCCAGCACAGGCTACATCAAAATAACACACTGAATCATCAGAAAATTCATCACTGGAATCACTTGAAGTAGTCCGGTGTTCAGCTGTTCTATGTAGTCTTAAACTTTATTTAAGGTTAGTTTAGTACTAAAACATTAATCACAAAAACATTCCAGTTTTAATATCAAAGAGTGCGTAATATTTAAGTGTGTAATTGAATTAATAGATGACAGTATTCTGAAAGGTGTATGTAATTGATTCAATAGTAAATATATATTTGTAAAACATGCATATCATATACAGTAATATAGATAAACTTAATAATAAAGTTTTATTATTTGTAAGAATTAATAAAATGTATTAATTATACTCTAATAACATAAAACCTTAACTAATGCAAAACATAAAAATAAAGCTCTACCACACAATCCCCCAGCTATAAAATAATGCCCTGTCATTCTTCAAACTAGTGATGGTTAACTATATCTGGAATGGCCAATCTCCTTCTCGCTGTTATCCTAAGAACAAAGGTGTCATAGCATTAGATGAAATGTAGTCAGCCTTCTGTAGTCACCCAGATGCTGGCTTCGAATGGTTCGTGGCACTAGTATGAACAACAGAGGTAGTCCCAATAACTGAGGTGTTGTATAGACCAGAGTAAATAGATGTTTAAGAGAAAATCATTGCTTTTGGAATGAGAACAGAAATATCGAGTCACCAGAAAAGAACTTTTGCCCTTGGATAACTTTTTCGTAATTTTCTGTATGACCGAACATTCATTACACGAACCGATCACAGCTCATCGAAATTTGACAGTTGGCCAGATGGCTTAAGGTCATAAGTACTTATAAAATGAATTTAAAACATAGACCAGGACGTCAGCATGGTAACGCAGATGCATAAAGCAGTAAACCTTGTAGGCATTTTGGATGTAGTCCCGATTGGAAAGTACAACAACTTGTCCATACAATGACATCAAAGTTAGATGAAATTGATGGCGACATGGAAATAACACTCCAACAGCTTCAAGAAGAGTACAAAAAATACTGATAGTAAGACAGTGGGTACAAGATGGACACAAGCCTAACTTTGAAATCTTTAGGATTTCATCTATTTTGTTAAAGCTTAAATTCGCAGATTGATGACCTGAAAATTCCGGATGGAGAACTTTGACAGTTGTACGAAGTACCTGATTATTTAAAGAAAATCCCGCAAAACCAAGCAGCCGATGTGGCTACATGATTTTGTAAGCTATTAGTGAAATGCGGTACTCATTGTTGTAAAGATATATATATATATATTCCTTATCATTTATAAACAAAAGTATGTTCTATATATGAAGTAAACTTGTACAACATCTGCCGGTACGAGTCATTAACTTTATTGATTATATTTTGCACAAATGGTGAAAAAAGGTAACATCTAAGAAGAGAGAAGATTAGAGGTGTCAATTCTGCAATACAGAGTGCAAGACTGAAGCTGATTGAGACAAACATACTCACAAATGTGCGAAGGAGAGGCGAATGTCACTATGCTTCGGAGGGTCGTCAGTGGCCGAGTGGTCTAAGTAGTTTATCTACTGTCATCTAACCTAGGTCGGTGGTTCTCTTCTGTCACTCCGGCTTTTTCCACCAATAAAAACTGACCACAACGATATAGCCACCAGTGCTGAAAGT